CTTGACTGTTCCCAGGAGGGCTCTGGTTGGGCCTGGGGTGGCGAGGGGCAGAGCTCCCTTAGCTAGAACCCCTGGTCAGGCAACTGCCATGTCCTGGCCCTGGGAGACCCCAGCCAGGCAGGAGGTGTCTGAAGGAGGAGCATCGTGTCCTATGATACCTGCTCCCTCTGAGCCCACTCCACAGCTCACAGGCTCCGAGCCCTGTACCGATGGAGAGTGTGTGTGTGCATGTGTGTGCATGTGTGCGCAGTGTCACTTTCCCCGAAGTGGTCTCGATTTCAGCTTTTTCTTCCTCTTTCAGCTCATATCACGGGTACAAAACCATGAGGGATTTTGTCAGGAGGAGGTGCTGGGCCAGGTAAAGACTGAGCACAAGGTAGCTGGGGGTGTGGCCTGGCCCCTCGTCCTGGTCCCTTCCAGGCCAGGCCCCCTCCTCCGACCTCAGTCCCCTGGAAGGAACAGGGAGGCCACGGGGAGGGAAAACAGAATCAAAGTAAATGTCAGCCCAGGAAGTGCCCGCGGCTCCCAACGCTCTTATTTCTGGAGAGTTTGCTTTCAAGAACAAATAAGAGAAATGTCATTGGCAGCCTCTGCTTATGGGCAGGACAGGAGGCCTGGCTGGGGGAGGGAGTGGCCAGGGCAAGAGGGTGGGGCCACCCATCCAGGAAGGGGTGCCCACCCAGGTGCAGGGGTGGGTGGGGTGTCCTGCCCTCCCCAGGGTCCCATGGAGGCTGCCTTGGGAGAAGGGCAACCCACTGCTTCCTCCTGAGCCTCCAGGTACCCAGGGCAGGTGGCCTGAGGCTGGCAGCAGCATCTGGGTGCCCAGGTGCCCAGGGTTGTGCCCTCTCCACTTACAGAAAGTGCAAGCTGGTGACCAGCGGGCCCTGGCTGGAAGTGCCCCCCATTGCCCTCAGGGATGTGTCCATCATTCCCGAGAGCCCGGGCGCCGACGAGAGTGGACACAGCATCGCACTCTGGGCCGTCAGTGACAAGGGGGACGTGCTCTGCCGCCTGGGTGTGTCCGAGCTCAACCCCGCGGTGAGCACCCCAGTCCTTGCCTCTGGGGAGCACCGGCCTGCCCACCTGTGGTCACTCGTGGGGTTCGGACAGATTGTTCCAGAAATAGGACTCTTGCTGAGGAGTTGGGCTAGGTGTGGGCCCACCCAGGGGTCGCCAGGCTCTGTGGGCAGTTGGAACCGAGGATGAAGTTGGCGTGAGGAGCCACCAGCTCCTGGACCCGGGGCTGGGGTGGCAGAAGCTGGACCAGGCAGCCCTCAGTGCCTCCTCACTCGGTCTCCAGGGCGCCTCCTGGCTGCACGTGGGCACCGACCAGCCCTTCGCCTCCGTCTCCATCGGGGGCTACTGCCAGGTGTGGGCCGTGGCGAGGGATGGCTCTGCCTTCTACAGGGGCTCCGTGTCCCCCTCCAAGCCGGCTGGTGAGTGCTGCCTGCCCTGGAGGGGATGGGGCTGTCAGCGAGGCTGCAGGCTGACGGCCCCTGGCTGCCCCTTCACTCAGCAAGCCCGTGGTGAAAGCAGCCTGCGGACCAGCTGCTGGGCACAGCCAGGATCCCGAGGCCACGCCCCTTCCCTGCAGCTGCTCTGCACCATCCTGGCCTCCTGCCAGGGCAGCTGGTGGTGGGCGCTTTTGGGTGCCTTGCAGGTCCTGCCCGCCAGGGGACAGGCCTGTTGGGACGCTCCTGGGGTGGCCCCGCTCGGCCCACTCCACAGTGGCCACTCCCCAGAGGGCACCCTAGGCCGGCATGTTCTTGACTGGATGTCTGGACAGTGTCTGGCATGGGGGAGGGTGGCACTGGAATGGACAGATGAAGAGGTGGTGGCTGGTGTGTCGTGCCCTCCACAGGGGGCTGAGGGCCTTGGGTTTGCGTAGCAGCTGCAGGGCTGGCTCTTGCCCACATGCCGGGCTGGGCACCATGTGTCCCTGTGTGTGAGACCGGCCCCTCCAGCCCCATCTGAAACCTGCCCCAGCCTCTTTGGGGCCTTGAGAGAGACCAGGGTGTTGGAGGTCAGCAGGGCATGGCCCCCACCCACCCTGGGAGCTGCAGAGGAGACCGTGGGCCCCAAGTGCCTGGGTCACAGGTTCGGTGCATCCCAGGCGCCTCCAAGTCCGACCTCCCTTGGCAGGTGACTGCTGGTACCACATCCCATCTCCTGCCAAGCAGAGGCTGAAGCAGGTGTCTGTGGGCCAGACGTCCGTGTATGCCGTGGATGACAATGGCAAGTTGTTCCTGGTCCCCAGTGGTCACCAGGGGGTTGGGGTTCTCTGAGCACCCCGATGGGATGAGACCCTCACCAGCCCCCAGGTCCCTGACACAAGACCTACGTCAGCCACCAGGAGAGGCCCAAGGTCGGCCTCCAAACAGGTCCCTCCCCTGTGTTCCCCAGGGGGGGACCCGGCCCTCCCCCTGGTGTCAGCCCTGCCTGGGCCGAGGGCACGGTGCCAAGGCCTGGGTGACGCTGCATAGCAGGGCCTGTGACCTGCGAGCCGTGACAGGCCCTGGGGGAGCGGAGTGGCCACGTGGCGCTGCCTCCGGCGCCTCCGTCACCGCTCCCGTTCCTGTGGTGCCGTTGTCCTGGCTGAGCAAGGCCAGGAAGGACAGAGACTGGCCGGGGACCCAGGCTCCAGTTCCAGGCCGTCCTCTGTAAAGAATGCCTTGTCCTCAGTTTCTCATGCGTAGAAAGCGGAGGGGGGTGGCAGCCCAGCCCAGCGGCGCAGTGGCACTGGGTGTGGGGCGGGCAGAGCTGGACCTCTGGGCTTCTCTCTCGCTGTGAGTCAGGGAAGCCCAGCAAGTGTGGGGACACGGGGGGTGGGGGCGGGAGAGGGGGTCAGACCACTGGCTTCGCAGACCCTGCGGTGGGTCCCCACGCCCTGGGCCTCACCGTGGGTCACACCTTCTCTCCCCAGGGAACCTGTGGTACCGCCAGGGGGTCACGCCCAGCTACCCGCAGGGCTCCAGCTGGGAGCACGTGTCCAACAATGTGCGCCGAGTGTCTGTGGGGCCCCTGGACCAGGTCGGGGGCTCGGGACAGGCTGATGCTCGCTCTGGGGTTGGGGACTGAGGGGCTCGGGTGCCTGCTCTGGTCTCCCTACTGCCGTCCCCGCGGTGCCACAGCCAGGGCTGGGCCTTCAACAGGTCTGTGTTCCAGGTCTGGGTCATCGCCAACAAAGTCCAGGGCAGCCACAGCCTGAGCCAGGGAACTGTGTGTCACCGCACAGGCGTGCAGCCTCTGGAGCCCAAGGGGCAGGGCTGGGACTATGGCATCGGGGTGAGTGAGCCGGCGGGGATGGCTGCTGGGCCAGGGCTGCCTGGTCACGTTGTACATGCTCCCCGACGGGCTGGGGCCTGGCCTGGGGTTGGTGGGAGACCCGGGCATTCCCTCAGAAGACCTTGGGCCCCAGCGTCTGGAAGGAGGGCCTCTGCCCCGCGACCCCTGTGGCCCCAGTGACGCAGCTCTCTCCTTCAGGGGGGCTGGGACCACGTCTCCATCCGGGCCAATGCCACCAGGGCCCCCAGGAGCGCATCCCAGGAGACAGCTGGCGAGCAGGGCCTCCCCAGCGGGCCCTCGAGCATGGCCGGTGCCCTGCAGGAGGCCGTGGGCCCCGTCTGCTGCTGAGCCACCTCCCTCGCCTGGCGGGTTCCGTCTGAAGAATCAGCGTGGCCCATGAGCCTTCACTCGGAGTGAGCCGCTCTGTGCTGAAATGCGGGTCCTGGCGTGGCTTGCGGGGACCTGGCCTGAGGTCACAGCTCAGGCAGCAGAAACAGCCCAGAAATGTGAAGCCTTGTGGACGTTCCCCACACTGTCCCTGTCAGCAAGGAGGGCGCTGGTGTGGAGTGGGCGCCCTCACCCGGCCTCTCCCACCCTTCCATTCCCCCTCCGCCTCCCGCCTTTTCAGAGCGGGAACCTAGAGCCTGGAACCTTCCAGGAAGGCTGGCCCCTGGGAAAGCTGAGCCCACAAAGAGCGCCCGGTGGCCCAGGGGGTCCAAACACAGAAATAGCTGAGGGCTCAGGGCCATGGCCCACGCTGTGGTCGTTTCTCAGCACGGGACTTGCAGATACGGTCTCATTCCAAAGGTCAAGGGCGGAGTTGGCAGGTCCAAAATAAATGCTGGAGAGGTGTCACCTTCCCCAGGTGGGCATGGGCCCCCGGGTTGGACAGAGGACCGAGGGGCCTGGGAGAAGCGGTTGGAGTGCTCAGCTGGCCCCTCCCCGATGGGCTGGGGGCTGGGGCATCTTTTACTTCTGATCATGTTGCAGGGGAGGGCGGGATGGAGGCGGAGACCAGCCAGGCGGTAGGAGGGCACCTCCCCAGCGTCCCCCTCCTGTCCTGCAGCCTCCGGCTGCTTTTTATCCGACGACACCCCATTGGTGAAGGCCCCGGTTTGCTTCCCACAACGAGTCCAGAGCTCGGAGTTGCTCCCACCCTCAGGTCCCATTGGTGGGTTGTCCTGACCACCACGCGCCTTCCTGAGTAGCCGCACCTGAGAGCAGTCCAGGCGCACGTGGGCCCCACCTGGCCCGGCGGAAGGACGGCTGGGACGGTGGAGCCTGACCACATAGCCCTTCCCAGGGGCTTCCCCCGCAAGCTGGCAGGAGGGTGCAGCACCTCCTTCGGGGTGCCCTCCCCGGGGACATTTGAGGGTGCCAGCAGCCTCTGCATTTGCAGGTGGGACCAGGAGGCGTGAGTCGGCCCAGGGCCCAGAGGGGCCGTAAGGGTTTGCCGGTCTCGGTCTGTTTACATCCCTTCGTCAGGGTCTGCATGGGCATTAAGGTTCATCTACAGCAGCTGCTGTCCTCGCTGTGAGTCCCCGTGGCTGGTCTCACCTTGCCCTTCCTCTAGGGACCCTGAGACCTCTCACTGCTGAGCCACCTGTTTACCTGCCCAGCATCACTGAGTCCCAGATGCTTTATTCAATTAAAACTTACACCAGAGTGTGAGTGGCGAGACTTTTTTGTGGCTACAATCGTGTACAACGCACCGTTCCCCGTGCTGGAATGCAAACTGCTGTGAAATCGTTTATTTTCGTTTTGTGACACAACATCAATTTCATGAGTACTTTGAAGGGGCCATTAGGGAAAATAAAAACCAAATTTGGGTCATTTAAGAAACGTTTTCACCACAATTACCACCCGGGCCGTTCCGTCCAGGGGTTTTCCCAGGCAGAGAAGTGGACGTTCTGGTTGCTCCGCCTATGGCTTTCGCCTCGGGGCTGTCTGGTCTGCAGGCAGGTCCACGGCCAGGAGTGGGCCAGGCGCCAGGGCTCCTCCAAGGACAGGTGGGTCCCGCTGGGCTTCGGGTCCACAGTGAGGGTCGAGGGAGCAGACTCAGCAGCAGGTCTCTGACCAGAGCTGGTCCCTCGCGCCCCCGTAGTTAACACCCCCAAAGCGGAACTGAAACCTTTAGAAACCCTTCGTGATGTGGCCACAGGGCGTGCAAGTGCCCTCCGGCCTCTGGTGAAGGACTGGCATGTGGGCCCGGGTCACCCTCTGGGGAACAGAGGAGGTGCAGGTGCATGTCTGGGACCGAGAGCAAGAGCCCCCACGGCTGTCCTACAAGGCGGTGGCGCAGGCCCTCCCGCACCCGCAGGCTCTCCCGGACAGAGGGCACTGCTGGGCCCTCCCTGTGCTGCTGGCTGTTTATCCGTTCGCTCAGCAAGCTCAGGGGCGGACGGAGCCCTGCTCTGGCCTTGGCTCAGCCAGGACAAGACACCAGGTGTGCGGGCCTCACCTGTTGTGTCAGCCAGCAGCCGTCAGCGGGGTCGCACGGACCCCATCGGTCCCGAGCTCGGAGTTGCTCTCCACCTCAGGTCCCATTGGCGGGTTGTCCTGACCGCCACTCACCTTTCCCAGCAGCCACGCCTGACGGCAGTCCAGGCACACCTGGGCCCTCACCTGACCGGCGCTGAAGGCTCCCAGGGCCACCTTCCAGAGGGGCCTGCACTGGGGCCTAGGGAGGGCCGGGCCAGTGTCTGACCAGATAAGTGGCCACTGGCTGTTCCAAGGGGTGCCACCCTCTGTCCTTGGTGCTGCCAGGGCTGACACACAGCCCAGGGACGCATGAAATGGCTGGGCCTGGACTACGGGGCTTGACAGTGAGGGCACGCATCAGGAACAAGTCCTGGGCTGTACAGCTCACTCCCCGGCCAGCCATCCCCCATCTGCAATGCCCAGGAGGGCTGGCAGGGGACTGGGCCCCACGTGCCAGGGCAACTCTACCCTCACCCCAGCCCCTGTCACTGTGGTTCCGGCCTGAGGCTGCCAAGGGCCCTGCCCCCTCCCCATGTTGGCTGTGGGCTGGAGGACAAAGTCGCCAAGCCTGCTGAAGCCAGCGGGGCAGGAACACAGAAGGAAGCTTGGCCCAGGGCTGCGGAGACCTGCCAAGATGCCAGTCCTGTCTTTGCAGAGCAGCACCGGTGGGGGAGGGAGCTCATGCCACCCAGGCTCTCCCAAGGGCGCCCCACAGAGCCCCCAACCCCAACCAGGACCCAACATCCTAAAGTCCTAACAGATCACACAATCAGCACGACTATGACAACGAGCGGCAAACCTGGGTGGGACCCGAGAAGGCGTGGGGACACAACCTCCCCAACGGGCCAGGGCTGAGAGGCCCAGCCTCCCAGCGGAGCAGAGCCCAGTGGCCTCTCTCCCGTCCTGCCCCTGCCCCTCAGCACCAGGCCACAGACCCTCTGACCCGCTCAGCCCCTCCGCAGTCAGGAGCCCCCAGCACAAGAGGAGGCAGGAAAAGATCCAGCCCCTCGGGACGTCCCCTCTGAAGGTCCCTTTCCAGTTCCTTTGAGGTCGTCTGATGAGGGATTCTGTCTAACACAGATGCTGAACTCACTTCAACCATCTTGGCTCAGCCACACTCCCCAAGTGGCCCTGAGCTTTACTTGCTGTGTGCCTCAGTTTACCCCGAATGAGGAGGCTCTGATGCAGGTTGGAGGCGGTCCCTTCCTGGGCCTGCACTTCAGGAGTGGCTGGGGAAACTTACCCAGGACGCCTCCCGGGGACCTCCCTTGCTTCAGGAGGGAGCCAGCAGAGACGAGACTCTACCTACAAAGGCCTGTCAACTCCTGTCTAGTCAATGGAAAAACAGGTCCGGGGACCCACGTGCTCCATCCAGAAAGGCAGCGGAGTGTTCAGGGAAGATGAAGCCGCGGGGGCCACGTCCACGTGGGAATGTCGCCACCAGCCTGGGGCTCGTGGCGGGCCCAGGGCGGGTGCTAGGAGCCCTCCCGGAAGCTGTGGATCTGTGTGGAGTACTTGTGCAGGTGGCCCTCGGGCTGGGCCTCCGGGGCCCCCAGGGCGCCCCCGGCCGCCTGCTGCTGCTGGTAGTGCTGGTAGAGCTTAGGGCCAGGTCCCTCCAGGCCCGGGAGGCGACCGCTGGACATGGTCAGGATGGTGGCCGTCAGCGACTTGATGTAGTTCTTGGCCAGCGTGAGGGTCTCGATCTTGGAGAGTTTCTTGTCGGCGCGCACGTGCGGGATGACCTCGCGCAGCGCCTGGAAGGCGTTGTTGAGCGTGTGCATGCGCTGCCGCTCGCGCTCGTTGCTCTCCAGCCGCCGCTGGACGCTGCTCTCCCGCCGGCCAGCCTGGCCCGAGAGCCCCGGCCGCCGGCGCCCGCCCTCCGCCCGCACCCCCTGCGCCCGCGCGGTCCGGCTCCGCAGACCCTTGGCCAGCGGGGCCCCGGAGCCCGGCTGGGGCCTGTCGGGGGTCTGCTCCCCTGGGGTGGCCTCTGTGTTCTGCGGAGGCACCCGGCGCCTGGGGGGCCGGTTCTTGGTCTTCATGGCTCCAGACTGGTTGTCCCAGGGGGTGGTGGCTCTGAGGGGGGCCCTTGGAGCTGAAATCCAGAACACAGGCCACCCCGTGGTCACTCGGTGGGCCAGTGGACACTTGAACAGCCAGCGGACACTCAGGGCAGCTGCCCACAGCAGCCTCCTCGCTGCCCAGTGGCTGCTGACCGCTTGGTGCACAGTGACCCAGGCTGCTTCTCATTGACACACCCCCATGTTCCTATTGGAACTCATGGTGACCCCTCAAACCTTTCCCTGACCTGGCGGCCCCCTCTCCCCCTGAGTGAGGCGTCCTGAGCCCCAGACTTTTCTCTGGCTGCTGCTTCTCACGGCCCCCAAGTGCCTCCTGGGTTTAGGAGTCAGGCCACTCAGCGCTGTAACCCCCTCCCAGCTCCGAGGTGCCCTGACCGACTGGCCCCGATTGCGGCCACCGCATCGACTGCACTGCCCGGCTGCATGTCACACGCAGGGACAGCACCGGGCCAGCTGCTGTAGACATGGGTGAGCAGAGGTCCGCAGGGGCCAGCGCCTGCAGCAGCCCCCGGGCTGAGCCGTGGAGGGTCCCAGTCAGGGCTCTGGGCCCAGACCTCCCACCCAGGTTCCTCTCCAGACCCCACCGGCCCTGACCTGGGTCCTCTCCCCGCGGCTCCCCACCGCCGACCCCTACCCCGTTACCTGGGGATCAGCGACCGCGCGCACCAGGGCTGTCCACGGGGGACAAGGACACGTCGCTTTAGCCGCCCCAGGCGGGGCCGCGGCCACATGTAAATGAGCCCGCGGGGCGGGGCCGGGGCGGGGCCGGTGTCCGCGGAGGCGGCGCGGGGCGCGCACCTGGGGACCCAGCCCGGGTCGCGCCCCCACCCCCGCCGCGGAGCCCAGGCCGCGGCTGGGGAGACTGAGGCCTCCCGGCGAGCCCCGCGGCGCGGAGAGGAAGCCGGCGCTGCACTGGCGGCCGCACCTGCCCGTGGGGTTAAGGCTCGGAACGCGGAGCCCGTCTGGAGAATTCGCGGAGGAGCGTGTTTAATAATGCGTTTCCTAAACGGGAAGCGGCCACGTCCTCCAGGAGCAGGAGCCCAAGTTCCGGCGAGCCCGGCTGCGCCCGCCCGGGGGCTCTGCGACACCCCCTCCCCCACCCCACCCGCCGCCCCGGTCCGGCTGCCAGGGGAGGAGCCCCGCCCGCGGAGCACCTGGGCCCGCCTGCGCGCACGTCGCCGGGAAATAACTGGCCTCCGGGAGCCGGCAGGCAGCTTGGGCGCAAACCCGGCCCTGCCACCCACGTGCTTTACCGAGCGCACTGTTCACGGGCGCGTGGGAAGCGTCTGGCTCGGCTCCTTGGGGGCTGACAGGACGCGCCCCCAGTGCAGGGAGACCGTGGCCGGTGGCGCAGGAGCCTGTGCCCCACCCCCGCAGGGTCAGGGCCAGCGCTGTCCCTCGCTGCCTGTCTTGGGCATCTCTGAAGGGGGGGTCACGGCTCCCCATCTCCTCCCTGAGGGTCACATGGGAGTTCTTATAACCCGAGTTGGGGCCAGGTGTGGTCAGTCTTGGTAAGAGCCTGTCAGGTGCTCTTGGCCGCTGGGACCAGGAGAGCAAGGCCCGCGATGGGGATGAGGGCTACTCGGGGCACAGAAAGGCTGGTTTAGAGCGGATTCGCCTCTTGGTTTGCTCACTGGGTGCTGGACCTCAGGAACTAAAATGCTTCTGAAACCATCAAAGGCTTCGGATTACAGCCACCCGTTAAGGCAGCACAAATTCGCGTGAAAGCTGTTTTCCAGTCACCACGGTCTGTTCTCTGGGCCCGTGGGATTCGGGTCTGTCTCGGAAAGGGGCATCTGGAGACCAGGGCAGTGCCAGCGACCCACCCAGGGCCTCCGTGTTAAAATTACAGAATAAACACAGCAACAGAATTTATAAATATATAACTATATTTATTTTGAATATTAAATAGTTTTTAAATTACAAGCAATTTATTGAATCACACTATGCATCAATATACAGTAAAAATCTTACAATTTAAAAATGTACACAATTTAAACTGAAAGTTCATTAACTGTTACACTGCCGTGAATACTCTTACGATCGTGTTAAAGTACAACAGGGAAGCCGCACAGTGTGACTGCCCCTGGGCCCTCTGAGACCTACTAGGCATGTCCAGCCATTCCAGTAACGGCTGGTGGCAGTTCAATACTGTCAACACATCTTTGAGGATTTATTCAGACGTTAAAGAGAACTTTCCTTTTAATAGTCAAAACTTGAGCCAACCCCATCACAACCTAGGAAGATTGTGTTTGAGATTCAGGTCTGAAGGAACTACAGCATTCTTACTCTAAGGCTACTTCTCAGAAGGCGCGTGTCTTGCAGCCCCTGACCCGGTTTGCTTCTGGTGTTTTCAGATGACCAGCTGAGCCCAGTTATGCCAGGAGCTGCTCCCTCACACCTGGGCCCTCAGGGCAAACATGCGGCAAGTCATTAACCCTACACACACCCTATGAACATAATACTAAGAGGCTTTTAAAGGTGTTTCATGGCAGCAAGACATACAGAGACTTGTCTTAGATAAATCCATTTCCATAGAAACAGCCACCTGTACATTTAAAATGAACAAGTTTTCAATTCAGCGTTGCTGAGCTGCTTCACCCTGAAGATGAATGGCTTCTTCCCAGACCACAGTCCAAGTGTCAGAAGGATTTGGGAGCACTTTTCTACATTCTTTTTGACTTACAACAGTCATTGATAACACAAGTTAACACCTAGCTAGGAAGGAAATGAAGGTTAGATTTGTACCATGGGATTAAACTCCACCAAAGTAGGACTCATTGAAACCTGATCAATTCCAAGGGAGGCTAGGAAATGTTGTGAGGCAGGCATTTCAAACCTCACCCGTATTCCCGAGAGAATCACTGATTTATTTCACTGCATAACTTACTAGAGCAAGTACTGCTTGAAAACCCACTACTTTTATACAACGGAGTTAAAAAAAGAAGCAAAGCACACACTGGCATTTCAAAAATGGGCTGAAAATTTCAGTGTACACGGTTTCTTTCCTGTGTATTGCTTGAGATTTCAAAAGAGCATGTTCACGCACGTGTTCATTATAAATATAAAATATTCCCCACCATGCAACCCCACAGTAAGATCTACTCCAACCCCTCCCCCCCAACTCAATGTATAAAATGCCTTTTTGGCAATTATGAGAGTGACACAGGCTTAAAATAAATAAAAATGAGAATTATGTTGTTAAAATCTCCTTGATTGTAGTGAAAAATGGTCAACCCAAAAACACCAGATTTAGCCTGGGCTGACTGTATAAGAAGACTATATATTCTATAGATCGGCTTGATTTTAGTCATTAAGTCTGAACCCCTTAATCCTATACTTTGAAAAAGCTAGTATAATGGCCTTCTCTCTAAACCAAGCTGGTAGTTAGATGTAAAAATTCAGAAAGCTCAGGAAGTCTCCATAAGTAAGAAACTCAGAGTTTGGCAACTTTGGCAAAATCACCTTCTAATGCCCTGTTAACTTTTCAAAGTGCACACCACAGGGTCCAGCTCCCAGCAGCGCACCCCCCCCCCCCCCCCCGTGGTACTCCATGCTCACAGCAAGTGGGGAGAAGGGCTCTTCTCCATCGGAAATCTCTCGCTCTGGAACGTTATTGCTAGTGTAAGAAGTTAGTGGAGTGAACCAGAATTGGTAATAAGGATCAACATTTACTACGGACACTCTAGCCAGTGTACACGTTTGCATCTCGCCCCGGGACGGCGTTCCTGTGACTTACACCCCGGCTGGAGTGGGAAAGCACCTCAGCGCCGGGAACACTGGGGAAGGGCAGCCTGCGGGGCCTGCAGACCTGGCTTCAGGACGGACACACCGAGCCCCCCCAGCGCAGCGCTGCTCTAGCCCCTGGGAACTCCGCGAGGTCAGAGCAGGACTCACAACTGCAGGAGGAGGCCACCAACACTAGGAGGTTGCACTGGACACACGCGTCCTTTTCCAAGCAAGGGGAGAACTCGGTGCTTAACGCAGACGGGAGGGTCAGTGCAGTGTGCCCCGGGGTGGCGTCTGGGTGAGTGGCCGGCAGGGCTGCCCAGCTTCCGGCCAGGAGGACATGCTGGCTGTGGAGGCTCCGCCGTTGTCCCTCGTCCCTCCTTCCTCAGTTGCGGGATGGGATGCAGGGCATCTCCTCGGCTGCAGACCAGCCACCTGGACGTGACATGCCTCTGAGGAGTTCTAGGGGAAAGTTCCGCTCTGGGGGTATTAAGAGCTCAACACCAGAGGCTGAGCTTTTACAAACAGAATCAAACCCTCCTGTCGCCAGAGCCCTGGGGGAGCAGCTCCTCCCTCCGCGTTCCCACCTTCCTGCGGAAGGAGTTCCAAGGACACGGAAGCCACAGCAGCCTGCGCTTCTGAAAGCCAAGCAGGTGTCCAGTGACGGCAGCTGGAGGGAAGTGCCTCTGGGGGAAGGGCCCGGGGACCGCACAGTCTAACCAGCACTCGGTGCTGAGGCGCACCACCTGTTGGTGTTTCCCCAGAGGGTTTAAAAATCGGGGTGGGGAATCACACAGAGGCTGCAAGGCCCTCAGCTCCTCAGAGAAGCCTCCTCCGCTACAGGGAAACCACCGCGTTGAGAAGAGACAACAGGGGTTCCAGCCCATCGGCCGAAGAGCAGTCTCTCTGGGCTCATCAAAACCTTTCCTATGAGGCTCGAAGCACTAGCGTCCGGAATCAGTTATCGTTTACGAAAGAGGACCATCTGCAAATCCAGCAACTCTAAGGACTGCACACACTCCACATATTTCAGCTTACAAGTACCATGCAGAGCAAATAAACTATAAAACAACCAAAAAAATCAAACTAGTGGGTAGCACCAGCTTGACCTGCCTTATTTTCCTTGAATAACTTAAGATTCTGTACAATATCAGGGACTCTTAGGACATGTACCCACAGTGCAATTACAGAAGCAATTAGTGATTTCTTACAAACAATAAATATTGCTCACGGTACCCAGTCCCACCACGCGTCCTCTGGGCCCGTGCGCAGACGGCTGCACGGGTGTGGACAGAGAACCCCACGTGGAAACCAGAAACAGCCGGGAGCCCACAGTTCTCCACGCACCTGAGCAGTGCCAGCCCTCCCCAAGGAAGACCAGAGCCCGAGTGTCTTTAGTGGTGAGGGCGGCTGCAGGCGCGCAGCTGCCAGGGCAGCAAACCACGCGAGACAGGACCCTGGCTCCCCAGACGGGTACCAGGCTCGGGGCCCAGTGCTGGCTCCCTCTCTGCCTCTGAGTCTCTCTCCCTGTCCCGCCTCAGCAGATGTCGCGTGGATGGCGCTGTTCGGTGGGCAGCACAGGCCCGCCGCCGCGGGGAAGCAGCCTGGAACCTGAGAGTGCATCACCATCCACCTAATCTTTTTCTCCATCTTCACTGCTTCCTGTTTAGGAGAGAGCAAGCAGAGCGGGGTTAGTGATCGTCCCAGATAAAGCAGTCGGGGTAGCATCTGAGCTGCACGGCAGAAAAAGGAACTGAAGCTGCGAGTGCGGACACCCAGCACCTGCCAAGCCCCAGGTGTTCTTCCCAGGGCAGCAAGCACATCTGCTCAGCTCCCACGCTGGGTCAATGTCGAGGCTGAGGGCGCAGGAGAGAGCGGGTCTGGCCGGCACACGGCTGCCCTGACAGGCGCTGGCCATGCCCATTATCTAATCGGCACAATTAAGCGCAGCACGGACACAAACAGGAGCTTTATGTTTCCTCGTTATTATTTGATCTGCAAACTTCAAATAAAAAAATGTACCTCTTAACGTTTATCTTCCAATCTAGTTATGGGGAAGAAAGGGTCCGTATGTTCAGATAATACAACTTCAAATGTGCCCTGCCCGCGCCTGCCCACCCAGGCCTCTGGTATCACACAGGACCAAGACTTAATGGCAAAATCAACATTCCTGGGGAAAACCAGGGTGAATTTGGGCTCAATCCCAAACCTGGGGCCAAGTGTTCTTAGGAGCATAGCCTTCTGAAGAGCTGCTTCTAGGGGAGGAGGAACTGGAGACAGGGGTGGGGTAGCCAGGAGCAAAAGCAGAAAAAGGGAGGGAGATGGCCCTCACATGGGGGCAAGTCCCGCTTCTGCCCAGGCCAGCCAGCCCAGCAGGGGCAGCAAGGCGACGCCTGCAAGAAGTACTGAGCCCCTGGAGTAACAGGGTCTGGAAGGTGGGATGTGGCCCCGCAAGCTGCATAGAGAACTGTCCATAACCTACCCCGCCAGGCAAGCAGCAGGTTAACATGCATTCAGGAACAAGGGGACGGGTCTCCCAGGACGGCCCTGGGCCAGCACCCCCTCACCTCCTGGCTCAATATCCGAGTCGGTAAGATGTGTGAGAGAAAAGCTGGCGATGCTGGCGGGAGAGATGGAGAACCGAGAGTACGGCGCCGCCTGGGGCCAGCTCTGCTCCGCGCTCCGGGGCGGTGGCGGTGGAGAAAAGTACTTAGAAGTCTGCAGAGATGGCTTGGAACTAAGGAGGTTACTCGTTGTCTTTGACATAAAAGAATCTGGGGAGAAGTCGTCATCCCATTCAAAGCCTCCACCTACAAAGACAAAATGAGACACCATTTTCCTGTGATCGGCTGATGATAAAGAACAGAGAGCAAACACACAAGTGCACCCTGCAGCTCAGCAAACACGCGCGGCCAACAGGTGGTGTGCCGTGGGTCCCATAAAGCAACAGTGAAGTCATCTTCAAATGTTTACATTCACAATGCACTCTTTTTAGTTGATTTTAAACCCGTCTGTGAAGTGAAATACCTTCTTCATCGGTGGAACTTTCGGAATTTATGCCCCTGCTCAGGTAGGGGGAACCCGATGACGGTGCTGGGCTGCTCCGCTCAGGGCCACGCGCTTCTGCCCCGCAGTGTCCCAGCTCTTTGGTTGGGGTCTCCTGAAAAGACAAGCAAAAAGCCCGTCAGGAAGCGCCGGCCCCGGGAGCCGCAGGTGCACGCATCACAGGCCGCGGTGCGTCTGACCGACCGGCTGGGAAATGCTCATCTTAAAGCAGGTGGAATAGGAACACACAGCCCTGTCTCTCCCACTGACGCAGCTCCAAAGCCCGGGCAGAATACACGAAGCAGCTACGTGGGCCTCTAAGAAGTAAGCAGTCGCAGGCCGGTCGGGAAGAAGCCGGAACTCAAAGATAGCAAACAGCAGTGAGTGTCACCCCCGCCCCTGCCCCGACCACAGCTCCTGGCCTGGACTGAGCCTGCCCTGTGCACGTGCCATTCTCTGGCCGGACTGGCCCCTGGAGCGGCAGTCCCCCGACCGCTCCATCTCAGTGCTGTAGAGTGTAGTGGGCCGTTTCAGGCCAGATCTGCCATGCGCACTTGGAAGCAAGCGAGAGCTCAGAAACAGCTTGATGGGGCTGCTTTTCTGGGTGCCTCACTCTCTGCGGGGTCTCTGGTACTCCCGGTGGGGCTCTGGCCCCCCACTGCACTGCACACTTCGTGCAGCTCCGCAGGGGAGCTCAGGGGTTCTCCTCGCTCTGGGGATCACAGGTCCTCTGGGTGGAGAGAGCATTTGCCCCCTCACGACCACAGGAGCCGCGCATCCCTACTGCTGCCATCCTGGGATGGCCTGGGGCTGGGACCGAGAAAGGGAATAAAAAAGGACGTCGTCTCCCCTTTCTGGCAGCAGGATACCCCCCTGCTGCTTTCAGAACCAGAACCAAAGGGCTCCAGAGCCATCTGCTCACTCCAGGGCCCGCTTTGCACTTTGGGGCTGAGTCCAAACAGCACAGCAAACGCCTTAAAGAGAGAACCCCCACCACGAGGGCTTAAACATTAACACGTGCATAAATAATCTAAGGATCAAAGAGGAAGCCGTGAGGAAAATTAGGAAGTATTTTGAACGGAATAAAAATACAACATTAAAATTTGTGGGATGCAGCTAACACACAGAGGGAGGTTTATAACATGAAATGCTCATATTGGAAAGAAGAAAGGTCTTACATGCTAAGTGTCTCCCTTAAGAGTCTGGAAAAGAAAAGCAAAATAAATCTAAAGCAACTGGAAGGAAATAAATGACACAGCAGAAATCAATAAAATTGAAAAGAAAATAAGGAAAAACACTCTATGAAATCAAAAGCAGTTCTTCAAACAGATCAATAAATCTACACACTCTCTCAGAAAGAGAAATGCTGCCCGCCTTCTTGTGTGAGGCCAGTGAGCGTCTCCTCGTGAGGGGAATCAAAACGAGCAACGGCAGAGCACCCGCACCCCGAGGCGCCCGCACCCCGAGGCACCGCACCCCGAGGCGCCCGCACCCCGAGGCGCCCGCACCCCGAGGCGCCCGCACACCGAGGCGCCCGCACCCCGAGGCACCGCACCCCGAGGCGCCCGCACCCCGAGGCGCCCGCACCCCGAGGCGCCCGCACCCCGAGGCACCGCAGATGAAGGGGCACAGAGGTCGTCTCCGGGGCTCAACACAGACAGACGCCAGTTCTCCGCCAGCGGAGCTTTAGGTTTCATGCAATTCCCATCAAAATCCAAGTAGGATTTTTGTTTGTAGCTACAGACAAGCTGATTCTAAAATCTACAAGGCAAATTACAGGAACTACAGAAGTCAAAACAATTTTTACAAGGAGGAAAAATGATAGAGGAATCACACCCCTGATTTTAAGACTTAATCACAAGAGTGAGGTATTGGCAAAGAGATAAATACACAAGTCAGTGGAACAGAACAAAAAGTTCAGAAATAGACCCATAGAGAGATGATCATTTAATTTTTGACGAAAGTGCAAAGGCTGTTCAATGGACAGCGAGCAGTCTTCTCAACAGACAGCACTGGAACAGCTGCACACACATCCCAACATAAAACAATGAACCCCAACCTAAACCTTACACAGAAATCAACTCAAAATGTGTAACAGATCTAAACATAGAACGCAGAGAAAATATTCAGGATCTAGAGGTTGGTGAAGGGTGCTCAGACATAACAAAAGTATGAGCCAGCCCGGCCGGTGTGGCTCAGTGGTTGAGCTAGGAGGTCAGGCTTTAATTCCCGGTCAGGGCACAGGCCGGGTTTGCAGGCTCGATCCCCAGTGGGGGGCGTGCAGGAGGCGGCCCATTGATGACTCTCTCATCATTGATGTTTCTCTCTCTCTCTCCCACTCCCTTCCTCTCTCTGAAATCAATAAAAACAGATTTTAAAAAATTATGATCTATTAAAAAAAGTGATAAATGGGATTCCATCAAAATTTAAAACCTTTGCTCTGTGAAAGACAACCTACAGACTGGGAGAAATATTTCCAAACCATGATCTGACAAAGGACTCATATCTAGAATTTATTAAAAAACTCAAACAAAACTCAAAACACAGAGAATCCAGGTAAGAAAATGGGCAAAAGATGGGGCATTTCACTGAAAAGGACGTACAGACAGCAAATGAGTGCATGGAATAAATGCGCAATGAAGAGTCGTGCAGCCTCACTGGCCAGCCACAGGGAAATGAACTTAAGATCACGACTGAGGCTATTGGAAAAGCTAACATAAAAGAGAGTGACACCACCAAATACTGGGGAAGATAAAGAGAAACTGAACCCCCCTGCACTGCGGATGGGAGTGGCACAGCCTCTGTGGAAAAGGTCATTTTCTTTAAAAAACTGAGCACACACTTACCATACAGCCCAGCAATCACACCCCTGGTGGTCACCCTCCCCCATCTATGTCCACTCGAAAACCTGCACACAATTGTTCAAAGAGGAAAAACCACACTGTCCCTCAGCAGGCGAATGCCGAGACCACTGGCACCCACTCGCGGAACAGCGCTCAGCAGCACAGAGGCAGGCACTATCGACCCGTGGCCTCGGGTGGGTTCGAAGGCATTACACGCCGGAGAGAAGGCCAGCCTCCGAAGGTTGTATGCTGTGAAGTCCATGCAGACGACATTCTGGGAAAGACAAACTCGCCTGGGGAGGCACCAAGCTGAGAGAGAGGCCTGACAGTCTGTCACAGACTAACACACAGGGAGGGCGGGCGGCTCTAAGGAGACAAGGGCCAAGGACTCCCACACCTTCTGGAACACAAAGGAGTCCCATTCAGATGTGTCTGTGACTGAGCTTTCCTCACCATCTAGCTCATTCAGGAAGCAAATTCAAGGACTACAGAGATTAGTCGACAAAGAATATTTTTTTAAAAAGTCTGAATTTCAGGAGGGGAGAGGAGGACAGGAACGGGGAGGGCAGGAGGGGGAGAGGACAGGAGGGAGGAGGACAGGAGGGGGGAGAGGAGGACAGGAAGGGGGAAGAAGACAGGAGGGGAGAGGAAGACAGGAGGGGGGAGGAGGACAGGAGGGGGGAGGAAGACAGGAGGGGGGAGGAAGACAGGAGGGGGAGGAGGGCAGGAGGGGGGAGGAGGACAGGAGGGGGAGGAAGACAGGAGGGGGAGGAGGACAGGAGGGGGGGAGGAAGACAGGAGGGGGGAGGAAGACAGGAGGGGGAGGAAGAAGGAGGGGGGAGGAGGACAGGGGGGGAGGAAGACAGGAGGGGGAGGAAGACAGGAGGAGGGAGGAGGGCAGGAGGGCGGAGGGCAGGAGGGGGGAGGGGGAGGGGGGAGGAGGTGGGAGGAGGACAGGAGAGGGTGAGGAGGACAGGAGGAGGGTGAGGAGGACAGGAGGGGGAGGAGGACAGGAGGGGGCGGAGACCAGGAGGGGGGGAGTAGGACAGGAGGGGGGAGGGAGGGGAGGAGGGCAGGAGGGGGGAGAAGGGCAGGAGGGGGGGAGGGCAGGAGGGGGAGGGGGAGGGGGGAGAGGAGGGGGGAGGAGGACCGGAGGGGTGCGGAGGCCCGGAGGAGGGAGGCGGGCAGGAGGGGGGAAGGAAGGACAGGAGGGGTTAGAGAGGGGGGAGGGAGGGCAGGAGGGGGAGGAGGGCAGGAGGGGGGAGGGGGGAGGAAGACAGGAGGGGGAGGAGGACAGGAGGGGGGGAGGAAGACAGGAGGGGGGAGGAGGACAGGGGGGGGAGGAAGGACAGGAGGGGGGAGGAAGGCAGGAGGGGGGAGGAGGAGGACAGGAGGGGGGAGGAGGGCAGGAGGGGGAGGAGGACAGGAGGGGGGAGGAGGACAGGAGGGGGGAGGAGGACAGGAGGGGGGAGGAGGACAGGAGGGGGGAGGAGAAGACAGGAGGGGGAGGAGGGCAGGAGGGGGGAGGAAGACAGGAGGGGGAGGACAGGAGGGGGGAGGAGGACAGGGGAGGGGGAAGGAGGACAGGAGGGGGGAGGAGGACAGGAGGGGGGAGGAGGACAGGAGGGGGGGAGGAGGACAGGAGGTGGGAGGAGGACAGGAGGGGTGAGGAGGACAGGAGGAGGGAGGAGGACAGGAGGGGGGAGGAGGACAGGAGGGGGGGAGGAGAGACAGAGGGGGGAGGAGGAGGACAGGAGGGGGAGGAGGACAGGAGGGGGAGGAGGACAGGAGGGGGGGAGGAGGGAGAGGAGGGGGGAGGAGGACAGGAGGGGGGGGAGGGAGGAGGGGGGAGGGGGATGGAGGGGGAGGAGGGAGGAGGTGGGAGGAGGACAGGAGGGGGAGGAGGACAGGAGGAGGGAGGAGGGGAGCAGGAGGAGGGGGAGGAGGACAGGAGGGTGGGAGGAGGACAGGAGGGGGAGGAGGACAGGAGGGGGAGGAGGACAGGAGGGGGGAGGAGGACAGGAGGGGGGAGGAGGACAGGAGGGGGGAGGAGGACAGGAGGGGGGAGGAGGACAGGAGGGGGGAGGAGACAGGAGGGGGAGGAGGACAGGAGGGGGGAGGAGGGCAGGAGGGGGGAGGAAGACAGGAGGGGGGAGTAGGACAGGAGGGGGAGGAGGACAGGAGGAGGGAGGAGGAGGACAGGAGGGGGGAGGGGAAGACAGGAGGGGGAGGAAGACAGGAGGGGGAGGAGGACAGGAGGGTGGGAGGAAGACAGGAGGGGGGAGGAGGACAGGAGGGGTGAGGAAGACAGGAGGGGGGAGGAAGACAGGAGGGGGGAGGAGGACAGGAGGGGGAGGAAGACAAGGAGGGGGAGGAAGACAGGAGGGGGGAGGAAGACAGGAGGGGGAGGAGGACAGGAGGGGGAGGAGGACAGGAGGAGGGAGGAGGACAGGAGGGGGGAGGAAGACAGGAGGGGGAGGAGGACAGGAGGGGAGGAGAGAAGGACAGGAGGGGGGAGGAGGACAGGAGGGGGGAGGAGGACAGGAGGGGGAGGAGGACAGGAGGGGGGAGGAAGACAGGCGGAGGGGAGGAGGACAGGAGGGGAGGAGGACAGGAGGGGGGGGAGGGACAGGAGGAGGGAGGAGGAACAGGAGGGGGGAGGAGACAGGAGGGGGAGGAGGACAGGAGGGGGGAGGAGGACAGGAGGGGGGAGGAGGACAGGAGGGGGGAGGAGGGCAGGAGGGAGGAGGACAGGAGGGGGAGGAGGACAGGAGGGGGGAGGAGGACAGGAGGGGGAGGAGGACAGGAGGGGGGAGGAGGACAGGAGGGGGGAGGAGGACAAGAGGGGGAGGAGGACAGGAGGGGGGAGGAGGACAGGAGGGGGGAGGAGGACAGGAGGGGGAGGAGGACAGGAGGGAGGAGGAGGACAGGAGGGTGGGGGAGGACAGGAGGGGGGAGGAGGCCAGGAGGGGGAGGAGGGGGGAGGGGGAGGGGGGAGGAGGTGGGAGGAGGGCAGGAGGGGTGAGGAGGACAGGAGGAGGGAGGAGGGCAGGAGGGGGGGAGGAGGGTAGGAGCGGGGAGGAGGGGGGGAGGAGGACAGGAGAGGGAGGAGGAATGGAGAGCCGCAGACCCTGCTGCTACCCCATAGGCACTGCCACTGGGCCGCGTCTCCAGGGCTAATCATGAGCCAGCCTGTGCCAGCGTGGACCTGAGTGCGGGGTGTTACTGCCGACGTCAGATTATAACAACGTCTGTGAAGGGTAACCAACCTCAGCAGGACTCTGCCGGGAGACCCAGGAAGAGCACAGATGTCCTTTCTTAATTTGATAGGAGCTCCCTGTGCAAACTACATTTCTGCATATTCTTGGAATTGTAACAGCAATCAACCGCAAATGGCTTTTTAAAAAAGCAGTCCGTCAGTATGGAGTTTCCTGAAAAAACTAAAAATGGAACTCCCATTTGACCCTGTGATCCCACTTCTAGGAATATATCCCAAGAAACCAGAAACACCAATCAGAAAGGATATATGCACCCCTATGTTCATAGCAGCACAATTCACTATAGCTAAGATCTGGAAACAGCCTAAGTGCCCATCAGCAGATGAGTGGATTAGAAAACTGTGGTACATCTACACGATGGAATACTATGCTGCTGTAAAAAAGAAGGAACTCTAACCATTTGCAACGGCATGGATGGAACTGGAGAGCATTATGCTAAGTGAAATAAGCCAGTCAATGAAGGAAAAATACCACATGATCTCACTCATTCATGGATAATAGAGACCATTATAAACTTATGAACAATAGATACAGAGGCAGAGCTGCCTCGAACAGACTGTCAAACTGCAGCGAGAAGGCCGGGGAGGGTAGGGGGGAAGAAAGAGGGTGTAAGAGATCAACCGAAGGACTTATATGCATGCATATAAGCATAACCAATGGACATAAGACACTGGGGGGTAGGGGACTGTCAAGAGCGGGGGGAAAAAGGAGACATATGTAATACCCTTTGTAATACTTTAAGCAATAAAACTAAAAAGAAAACAAAACTAATAAATAAATAAATAGAGAGCTAAGACCAAAAAAAATAAAAATAAAAATAAAATAAAATAAAATAAAATAAAATAAAATAAAAAAGCAGTCCGTGACCTCAAAATTAAAAGTGGGAAAACAGAGCACACTCCACGTCCTGCCACATTCTGGAACCCTCTAATATGACGACGTGGAAGTAACAGATACCTGGTCAAACAGATAGACGGTGACGTCATCAAAAAAGGTCACTGCCTTCTTTTCTTTCTTCCAGGCGTCCGGCAGCTGGTCAGCAGCAGCCGCCGCCGGGGGTTTCAACAGGCTCCGCAGGTGCCTCCCGTCCTCGTTGCTGAGGATCACGGGGACAGGGTGCTCCACCTCATCCTCCGACTCGGAGCTGAGGCTGTGCAGGTTGAACGCCCGCAGGTCCTCGTCTGAGTCGTCGCTGTTCTCATCTTCCTCGTCTGCATCGATCCCGTCCTCGGGGAGGTCGAGCACCCCCGACACGCCAAGCTTCCCCAGGTACTTCCCTTCGATGTCTGGCTCCTTCAGCTTGGGGCCCTCCGCGTGGCTGGAGAAGGGCTGCTCCACCGTCAGGTCCGACGGGCTACCGGAGCAGAGGGCAGAACTGGCGAACGCAAGGAGCTCGTTGGTGTTTGTCCCGGTGGAGGCGATGGTGCAGGGGGGCTCTTCTTGTGCCTCGAAATCATCGCCGCTGCTCAGCTCCGAGTTTACCACACTCGAGGGACTGCCAGCCTCGTCTTCAGGAGCATGCAGCTCTTTGGAACTGTGTGCCAGTGCTGGGGCCATTTCTCCTGACTCCAGGAGACTGGAGTTCTGCAAAGCAGACAGGCCACTTTGGTCTGGCGGGCTGCTTTTGGTTTCCAGGCCACTGTCCGCGGTGCCAGGACTTTGCTCCGGGATGGCTGGCTCTGGCAGAGGCTGACCCATCACCAATGCCAAAGCTGACACTGAGGTTCCTTGGACCCCCTCCGACTTCTTATCAGGTTCAGAATCGTTATCTGAGAAGTAGGCAGAGTCTCGGTGTGAGCTCTGAGAGCCAGCTGCAGAGGTCTGGGAGGTCACTTCGGTCCCTCTGTGGCTGTCAGCTGCATCTGAGATGACGATGACAGGGTTGGGAGGCAACTCGCCATGACGGCTGTCGCCTGCTAGGGCCACGTCTGAGGCTGAGGCACCGTCGGGAGCAGGGTGCAGAGTCCACTCAGGCGACTCCAAGTTCTCGGTCTCGTACCCACTGTCTGCAGGCTTGTCAGGGGGCATGAGTTTCTCCTGCCCGCCCCCTAGAGGACCCAGCAGAGCCTCATGGACGTCCACGGAGTCCAGAGAATCGGGGGTCTCCACCGACTGTTCTGAAGTTGGAATGGGTGTTGACAAGCTATCTTCCAAAAGGCTGTCCTGACTAGTCGAGTCTGAGGAAAGGGCGGACACCAAGGCCCCTTCGGTTGCAGCATCTTTACAGCTGAGCTGGTGCGAAGTGTCCCCGGCTCCCGGGCTCTTCGCTAGGGGACGGTCACTGCGATGGTCCTCTGAAGGGGGCTGCTTCTGCAGGCTGTGTGTCAGCTCCGGAGGACTGCTCTCTGCACTCGCTTTCCTGGCCAAGATGCCGTCCACCAGGGCACAGTCACTCTGGGTCCGTCCCGAGGCCTCTTCACTTTGCTGAGTCAGCTCGTGGGACCCAGGGCCTGTGCTGTTTGCTCCAGCATCGGCGGAGGGAATTTCAACTGGGACGGTCACAGAATCTACACTTGCTTCTTGGCCAAGACGGTCGTCATGGATCCTGACATCTAAGCGCCTGGGCGTGGTTTCTCCCGGCTTCGGGACCGTATCTGTTGGTGCGCTGTGAGGTGTTCCTTCCGTTTCGAGCGAGGTAGGAGGTACCTGCACTTCGGGGGAAGACGGCCACGAGGTGCTCAAAGCGTGGTCCTTGAGCACAACACGTGTGCCTTGACCCTTTGCGCTTATGTTTTCCTGCAACAAAGAAAAGCCTGGTTTATTTTCAGCAAACTTAAACTCGGTGTCTAAAGTGTTCCTACGTGGAGTTTCTAACATGGTTTCCGTAAAACCAGCATTTTTAAGTTCTGTTTGAAGGTCATTTATATGTTCTTTGCTACACAATGAGTCTCTTAATAAGTTTTTCTCTTGAAGAAATAAAAAGTTTTCTGACAATTCTTGCACATTCAGTGGATCAAAATTATCTTGGTGCGCAAGGCTTTCTGAGAAGCAAAGAGGCTCACAGTCAAAAAGCTTGTGGGGCTTTTCTTTCTCAAGGTGGCCTGTTATTAGCGAGTCTTTGGGGTCGTCCAAGCTTGAACTTAAAGTGGTCGGCTTGAAGTCCACTTGAACTCCATTCAGTTCCATTAAGTCAAATATTTTCTGGTGACTGGGCAGGTCCTCCGATTTGTCCAGATCATTAAATATACTGTTGACAGGGCTCTCGGGGCCGCTGGTGGCACGCATGGCCTCAGGGGTGCTGGGATCTCTGGGGTCTGTGCTGCTTTGGAAGAAATCCTCATCTGTACTGGATTCCTCAAGCTCAAGGCCCCCGAGTGTCAGAAACCGGGGCGCCTTGTCACTCGTCCTCTCTGGATTCTCCAGTTCAGTGGTGAGCAGTGCAGGTGGGTAATCGAGCTCCAAGTTGCTACCACTTTTTTCTTCTAGTTGGATGTAATAGTCGCTTCCAACAGAAAGGTTGTGGGCATCAAAAACGGGAACCACTCCCGGGGCTCTCACGGGGACTTCCTGGCCACTGCTGTCTTGTTTCCCGGGCCCGGGATCTGAAAGTGAACTCTCAAACACTTCAACTGGAAAGAAGATGCTCGTGTAAGACAAGGCCTCCTCTGGGGGGCCCCGGCTGCGTTCATCAAAGTGGTCGTGCTTAGCTGCCTCCCAGACATACTCAAAGCTCAGGCCCTGGCTGGTTTCCGTCACGGTGAGGACTTCCTCCATTTCACGACCAAGCCGATCCCTGGAGAAATGGTCGAGGATGGGGAACGCCGCGCTGTTGGAAGTGTCCCTGGTGTGTGTATTTGGCTTAAGAGCGTTCCACTGTTGTTCGAAGTCGACCTCTGAGTCCCTCTGGCTTTGCATGCGCAGGTAGGTGAGCAGTCTGTGCACGTCCTCGGCCACTGGTCTCTTGTCTGGTGGCAACCAGCAGAACTGCAAAACTTCATACCTGAGGGACACACAACAGGTAGTTAACGGACTGATAGCACATCATTTTTAGAATAAGAAAAGACTTTACAAGAGCCCCTAAGCCAGTGATTCTCAACCTTCCTAATGCCGCGACCCTTTCATACAGTTCCTCATGTTGTGGTGACCCCCAACCATAAAATTATTTTCGTTGCTACTTCATAACTGTAATTTTGCTACTGTTATGAATCATAATGTAAATATCTGATATGCAGGATGTATTTTCATTATTACAAATTGAACATAATTAAAGCATAGTGATTAATCACAAAAACAATACGTAATTATATATGTGTTTTCCGATGGTGTTAGGCGACCCCTGTGAAAGGGTCGTTCGTCCCCTGACGAACAGTAACACTATAATCTTCTGCAGCACATGGTTTCCTTAGACCATAAAAGGAGCTGCAAGTGGAGGGAAGAGAGAGAATGAAGCCCAAGAAGGCAGCAGCCAGGAGTTGGTCTTCCAAGGGCTGGCTGAACACAGCCGAGGGTAGCCATGCGCAAAGACAACTTCAAAGTATTCAACTTACAGCGTATATGCCAAGTTATTCTGAGGCAATGGTTCTAGCACCTGGGAAGCTGAGCACTGCCTATAGGCAGGGGCACCAACCTCCAGGGGCAATGCCAGCTGGGCACACGGGGGTGTAGACAGAGGCCTAAAGGGAAGTGAACCAGATCCTAATTGGAAATGGAGTAAGAACTGGTTCAAAGACACATAAAAAATAAGTTTGTTTTGCGAATGTGAACATGTTATGTTATGCAAATTAGTTTCAACTGCCAATTTAAATATTATCATTTTTATGCTATCTTTTTTCTCACGTTAGATATTACTTATAGCTAGCCTCATTTGAAAACAATTCCGCAATAGCAAACTCAATTACTGTTGACTTTTTTAATGAATCTGACTTCACATTTTTTATTGTGCATAATACACAAAAATTCCTACTTATTCCATACATTTTTCAAAAACAATGTTAAATTATAAAAATATACATTAATTCTTTTAAAAGTCATGAATAGTATACAAATGAAAAATACAACATTTACTGTATAAAAACAGAAACAGGAAGTCACCAACCATCTGTCAGAATAAGGCTGCTCCAGCTGGGGCTTGGGGAGTTTTGTGTCTCTCTCTCGAATGACCCGGTTAAGAACATCCAAGTTGGAAAGGTTGGAATACGGCTGAGCAGCATTATCAAAAAGTTCCCAAAGCGTCACACCCAGGGACCTGAGGGAAAAAGAAAGTGATTATTTCTTTCTCCCTTTAGACGTTGAATTTTTAACATCCACATTATCTGTGCAGTCACTAGGAACTTTAAGGACAAGGTGTGTACTGAAAGGCAGTAAAGACAGCTCTCTAACATGATCTGAAAAAGAGACATTCTCATGAAACTGAGGACCACGGCAAGCAGGACTCCTCTTACCTACTGGTAAACACAGCTCTGGTAGTTCTGGCCAATGCAAAACCATGTGAAACAGACACAAGAGCCACAAAATTCAGGGAGGAGCTAATCTGACTCTCAACTTCAAAAGTCAAGAAATTATTTGAAAGATCATGAAAATGACTTAAGAGTTCAGCAAAATGGTTAGATAGAAAATAAATATACTGAATTCTGAGTTTTATGGTAGAAAAAGAGTTCCATTCATAATGGATCTAAAAGAAATCTTTACATGAACAACTCTTCCCTGTTGGACCCTCACATTTCTTTTTCTTTTTCTTTTTTTGTTAATCTTCACCCGAGGATATTTTTCCATTGATTTTTAGAGAAAGTGGGGGAAGGAGGGACAGAAACACCGATGTGAGAGAGACTCATCGATTGGTTGCCTCCCACATGAGCCCCGACTAGGGTCAGGGATGGAGCCTGTAACCGAGGCACATGTATATGGAATCGAAGCTGGGACCCTTCAGTCACAGCCAACGCTCTATTCACTGAGCCAACCCGGCTAGAGCCACACATTTCTTGTAGTTATTCCCGTCGTTGGGGGCATGTTGCTGTTATGAAGGGGTTTCCCTCCATCACTCTGCCAGCTATCTGTGTGCCAAGAGCGCCACCTGCCCAGCCTCTCAATGCCTCTCAATGCCTGTGCAGCCATTACCAAAGGCAAGAAGGCCCCTTCTCTGCTGGTCCCACTTGCTCTCATGTCCACTGCTTGGTCCCCAGGGAAGTGGCCTCTGCTGCTCAAGTCATATGGACACTGACCCTTCACCTCCTCTACGTGGTCTCCGCATTTCTCTCCCACGTTTCCTGCCTTCTGTCGTGCATGACTGTCTCCTCCTTACGGCCATGGCTCCCACACTGGGCTGAGCATGTGTGTTATCTGGGCAGCTCTCAGGAACACTTTGGTATTTAGGATCCCGCGCCCCCAGGACTCTTAGCTGGCAGATGCTGGTGTGGCCTAGGAAATGGTTTTTCTGAAAAGCTCCCTCCTGATTCTGATATCCAGAGAGGTTTGGATAAAGATGGTTTACGTGACTGTGATCAATACCCACCAGAATGCTTGTCTGAATAAGCTGTATGGAATTAAATAAATGTATTATCTGACATTGTATAATACAATATAACATGAATTAAATTCTCCGATGCTAATTTCACAAATCAGTGAAAACAATCAGCATATTCAGTATCTAAGCTGAGAGATCATTTCTATCAGAGGAAATAAAAGGACCCACATTTCTCGATCAAGTTCAAGAAGTAAGAAGTACTTAGCCTTTCTGTGTTTTCATTCACTTCAATAAATATTTATTAAATTTGTATTATATGCCAGACCCTGTGGTAGGCACAGAAAATGGACTTGGATCCTGCTTTTATGGAGCTTATTATTGTTGAATGGGTAAGAGAGGCAGTATTCAAAAAGTTAATTATGTCACTGCAATGTGACTACTGCCATATCAATACGTACATTGTCTTTTCCATACCACCAGGCACTCTTGAGTCCCTACATCTTATTCAATTACTCCCTTTAAGAAAGTGCTCCAGGAGAGAGTTAGGACGTTGCTACACAAAAGCCGAGTAGAATGGTAGATCAATACATACCAAATGTTACTGTACTTAGTTTGATCTGCAGTTAGTAGTCTGTCTTGAAAGCTGGTTACTAACTCTGGAGCAGTCCATCGCAGAGGGAAAAATTTCTTATCATCTGTTTCAATATAATCCTCCTGTTTTGTTAGAAAGCACACAGAATTTTGAATTCTTTCATACTTTTAATGAGCTCAGTAATTTAATTCCAGGTCATTCTCAGACAACAATACTCAGCCCAAAAGGAAGTGGGCATAGAGAGAGACTTTCTGGCAGGAGGTGGGTGAGGCTTCTCCAACGCCTCCTGGGCTTCATGAGCTGGTCTCAGCACAAACACTCGCCCAGTCACCCTTCCTGGAAAAGGAAGGTACACTGTAGCTGATGCCCAGAACAGACTCTGAACAAAAGAGCTGGGCTCTACGCCCCGAATAGGAGAGTGGTGCCAGTTAATAAGGGCGCAGGCTTCAACAGACAGGCTGGGTTGCAAGTCCATGTTCAACCATTAACCAGCTAGGTGACTCCAGGAAGGAAACAAATATGCCCGGCCTCTTTCCTTATCCATCAAAGGAGGTGATGCAATCCCTCCCTCTCTTCGTGGTGAGGATTAAATGAGATAATGCAGGCCAGCACCTCAGAGTGCCTTGAATATACAGTAAGTGCTCAAGACACTAGAGCTACTATATCAACAAATGGCCAACTTATATTCGCATAATAATTTTTGGTTAAAAAGTACTGAGCCACACGAACCCCACAGCACAGCACAGATATAATCCTCATGTTGCTGCTCAGAAAAGGAGGCCGAGCGGCTGCGCCAAGGTCTCCGGGCAGCGTGGAGCGGACAGTTCCCTTTGCCCCACATCAAGCTACCTCCTTCCCTTCAGCTGGGCTGCACAAACACAGATAAACCGCACCCACTTCTTCCTTTCTTTGGGGATATGTTTGTGACAGTTTAAAGACCTAAACCCCAAGCTTACTGAATTCGATCCAAAATTTTACTGAACATAGAAGGGAGAAATAGTTATGTGACGTGTATTTCATTATACACATGGCATTAATTATACTGCCCAATGCACACTAACATTTACTATACAGCATCAAACTATGTCAATTACACCCAGTGCACGTTTTATTTATTTTTTAATATATTTCTTTATTCATTTCAGAGAGAAAGGGAGAGGGAGAGAGAGATAGACATCAATGATGAGAGAGAATCACTGATCCGCTGCCTCCCGTACGCCCCCCCACTGGGGATCGGGCCCACAACCTGGTCATGTGCCCTTGGCTGGAATCGAACCCGGGACCCTTCAGTCCGTAGGCCGACGCTCTATCCACTGAGCCAAACCAGCCAAGGCCCAGTGCACGTTTTTTTAAACAAAGCATCGGGGAAGCTGAAACCAAACCTCCAGGACAAAGTCACTGATTTAGAAAAACCACACATCAGACGCCAACACTCCCACTTAAATGACTGGAACTCTCCAAAAAGGCCACCTGCGCAAGATTCTCACCCTCTTTCAGAAAAGGAGTGGCATTCTGTGCTATTACCACCTTGGGACCAGGAAAAATTAAATCCGACTAACGACTAAGGAGAGAACCTGTGAACCTCTGGCTTACCTTGTACCTGCTGAATCCTATTCCATAGTCTCCCACTTTCACATTTAGATCCGAGGTAAGAAAACAATTCCGCAAGGCTAAGTCGCTGAAAACAGAGAGAGTGAAGTGAACTCAAGAACAAGGAAAATCTGTGACCAGAAAACATCGCTATGGAAAAAGGCTTTCTCTGGGAATCAGAGTAGTATTTTGAGCTCCCTACTTAATAATTTTTATTTTAAAATTCTTTTTTTATAGCAAATGGATTACATATTATATTTTAGTGACTTAAAAAATTGAGCTGATCAGATATTTTTGCAAATAGCTATGACGGCTAAGGTCAAATACTGAGCATATCTGTACCTTGTGCTGCATTAACACCAGGTTTGTGGCTCCTTTCCTAGTCTTTTAAGAGTGGTCAAGAAGGAACTCTAAAATACTACTGTCTAAATTGTCTGAATAGTTTGTACAATAACTTGTATTACTTGAGTAATAGTCTGGTAAAGATTAGTAAAGTTACAACCTCAAGCCCCCCGTTCACATTATTAAAACTGTTTGTTTTTAACTCCCTTTTCAATGATGCACAGGCATTAGAAGGAGCCCTTTTCAAATTACGCTCATCTCCTCCAAACTCCTCCTCTCCGCCAGGGAGCTAAAGAGCACATTTGCAAGAGTTAATTAAAACAATTTACTTACACAGTTTATGTAAGAGCAAACTGATTTTCAAAAACACATAATTTGAAAAAAAATTACTTTTCTTAAAGGAACTTCCTATATAGACAACAGATTAAATTTCTTTTATTTTGGCTTTAGTCCTTGGAATTTTTAAAATCATCAACTGGCATGCACACAAAAAAGGCCACTAAATTAAAAATGAGTTTATAGTTTTAAATCCTGAATAAAAGTTATCAAAAACTGAAAATCTATAGTCCAAAATTTAAAATGTTTGTCTTTATATGATAATAGAAAACCAAAAACTTTAACTAACTTAAATTCTTACTTTCAAAGATTTTCATTTCCAAAGCTCACACCTAAAATATAATCATGAGAATGACAACAGCAATCACTAACACTGGCATAATTCAATGGCAACTTGGTATATAACACGGATTCAATTATATACAAATGGCTAATATTTACAAAGCACTTACTTTACACAACTCGTTTCTCTAAGCACCTTACGTGTGTTGTTACTCATTTAATCTTCACAACAAGCCTTTGAGGTGGATGCTATTATTTCCCCATTTACAGACAGCAAACCCGAGGCACAGAGAACTGAAGTGCCTTTGTTAGGGTCCCAAAGCTGACAGGGCAGCGGCATTTCCCCCTGTCAACATCAGTAAATATCCACGACAATACGTTAACAGCCAGAGCACTGCACTGTGCATACGGCTGGTCCTTCACAAACATGTGCTGATCTGAATTTCCAATTAATCTCCCAAATAATTAAGTTACACTAAATTCCTCTCTACACATCTGTTTACACACGGTGGTTTTCAGCATTCCATCCAGAAGCCTTCAGACCTGTGGATGTGTCTGGGAAAAACCTGGGCCCCTGCCCCCCGACTCCATTGCTACAAATAATAGAGAAACTTCCAATCTTAAGAACAGAATTGGCCCCTACATTTAGAAAGAGAAGAAAAAGGGGCGGAGGGGCAGAAGTAGTAATCCATTTGAGGGCAGAAACATGAAAGCTTGAAGGGGGCAGCTTTACCCACTGGACCCAAAGCTGCAGCTGGACAGTGTGCGGGTTTTGCCAACAGAGGTCCTGCTACTGAGCACCACTAATGAGCATCTCTGGAGTTTCTATACACAGACCCTGCTCAGCCTGCGCACACCTCCCTCCTCAGACCAGAATGAAAAGCTGGGTGCCAGCATTCCGACAGGGTGAGGTGTGTGTGTGTGTGTGTGTGTGTGTGTGTTCCTCTCTCAGCCTGGGGCTGGCTGCAGCCCCTTCGGAGCTCCGGACACTTTCTGCTCAGGCCATTCAAGCAGTTCCTGGACTGCCCGCTTCCTCCCTCCTCTCCTTACTCGTGGCCACTGTAGGCCTTTAGATTTCAGAAGGGAAAGTCAGGTGAAAGATGGGACATTATGTGCAAAAGGCATCTGCACACTGTAAACGGCACTGCAAACCTCGAGTACAGTCCAACTGACTGTCTCAGGGAAAGAAGGGAAGCCTCTCCTAACTGAGCCAGAGCTGAGGGGGAAGAAGACAGTGGCATGACTGGGGGGATTTCTGCGAAAACTGCTCCCTCCCTCCCTCCACTCCCAACACCCCAGTCACCACTGTCAGACCCGGCACGAGTCTCAGCTCCACTGCTTAAGAACTGGGTAACTCTGGCCAAGCCACTCAGCACATCAGAGCCTCCATGCCCTCACGAAAACAACAGGGCTGAACCTGCAAGGGCTAATCTCTACAAGGATAAAATAAAATACACAGGAAACGCTAAAGTGCTACCCAGATTCAAGATGCTAATGATATAATTTGATTCAAAAATTGGTAAAAAATATTCTCTGAAGCCCAGAACACGAAAAGCTAAAGATGAGAAAAACACAAGGTTTAACTTCTTAACAACAGAGTTAACTCTTGATGTCAATGCTGGTTCTGGTCAGGAAACACAAACACACCCAGTATCTTCTTCCTTCAAGTTGAAAAACAGGTCCAGTGGGCAGGCTGCCAGCGATCCGGCTCTGAACGGCTCTCAAGGCTCTGGCTCGCCCCCCTTGGCAGCGCCTCCTGTCGCCTCAGCTGTCAGTGACTGCACACGACTCAGCCACCCGAGAGCGTGGGGCTGACAGACACGAACTGGGAGCTCGCGGTTCTAAGGAGTCCCCACCTGACTTGTCCTCCACTCCCCCCAGATCTGGAGTTTACCCATCTGCAAAAGGACTGCTCTCATGAGCAGTCAATGCCACTGCAGCCATTTTCCAAAACCAACCACACCCACACTTCCTGCTTGTGCTTTCCTGAATAATCTGAATTCCTGGTAGCAAATGGCAAGCAAAATGACTGAAAGTCACTGAGTTTCATGAATGTCCTGTGTCCGACTGCAAACATGCAGGCTACTTAAAGCCAGGCCTAGCTCTCTTCTTAAACGATAGTAAAAATAAAATGTACTGGGGTGCTTTACCACAGCAGTTTCCAAATGCAGCTCACAGCTTTCAGCTGGACATGCGGACTATTCTATTTTCAACCAACACAGAAAATCTGACTTTGAGTCAGCCAATAAATATTCTAAATTTCAACTTTAAAAATGCTCTACCACCCTGGCCGGTTTGATTCTCATTCAGGGCACATGCCAGGGATGTGGGCACAATCCCAGTAGAGGGTGTGCAGGAGGCAGCTGATCGATGTTTCTCTATCTCCCTCTCCTTTCCCCCCTTTTTCTCAAATCAATACAATCTTTTAAAAATTGTCATTCTATAAATATATCCCAGTCTAACCTGCCTTTTTAAAAAAAAAATTTTTTTTATTGATTTTTAGAGAGAGGAAGGGAGAGATAGAAACATCAATGAGAGAGAGGAACATCCTTGATTGGCTGCCTCCTGCACGCCCCCTCCTGGGGATTGAGTCCAAAACCCAGGCATGTGCCCTGACTGGGAATCGAACCTGTGACCTCTGGGTTCTTGGGTTGACACTCAACCACTAAGCCACACCAGCCGAGCCAACCTGCCTTTTAAAAAATATAATGTTTCATAGACATTCCTTCACATCAATACACACAGGTGTCCCTTTTTAGGTCTTTAGATTATTAAGAGTTAAATGCTTTAATTAAATTCAACTAAAGAGACACTGCCTGGTTTCACAGGAGACCCAAGAAATAATTTTAACCCTTTGCGGTCCACTTTTATTTTTGGAATTCAAACAGTCTGGTCCAAATTAACTGAGGGGATTGAATGTTGAACTTTTTAATGTTCTTATTTTAAAGTTTAAACCAAAAATTCACTGGTTATATTATTAAATATGTTCAATCAAAGAGTTTATTCTTTAAAACATTTCATAGTGTGGTATCTTTTGAAGCTGGTCTGTCGAGTCAGCCTCGGCGTTGGACCGAAAAGGGTTAAACATATTTTAAACATAAATCAGAGCTCAAAAGGCTAAAGAATAAGCAGAACTCTCCCTTTGGGTTCACAGAACCATCATATCAGGTGGGACTCAAAGCCCTTTGTTGTCTTAATTACAAAAATTACATCAATGATCTGAACAAAATGTGCCCAAGGAGCTGAGGTTGTGTGAGTAGGACCGGAAAGCTTTGACAGAAAGGTGTTTACCTTTCTGCACAGGGCAGCTTCTACAATTTAAACCAGAGCAGACTCTACAGCCTGTCTCTTGGAGCTTTTGATAGGCCCTCTGACAAACTGCACGGCCTCTCCCCGCCGGACGGACCCACCTGTGCAGGAAGTGCAGCTTGTGCATGGCGGCCAGCCCCGCGGCGATCTCACACGCCATCCGCTGCAGCAGCATGGTCTGCGAGTCCCCCCGAACGTGCTCCTGCTCGTTGCGCAGGTACGCTTTCAGATCGCCCTGCAAAGATCAGTGCAGTTTGCTTTTACAAGCAGACAACAAATGGACACCTAAACATGTGCCTTAACTGACGTTAGTTATGAAGATTATTTATTAGCAATCACTTAGAGTTAGCTTAATAAAGCATCTCAGACTGAACAAGTTTCAAATTACAAAATACTTCAACCAAATACTTCAAAAGTATAGAAAACACTATTCACCTTTAGGATCATTCTGATTAAACGCCAGCTTATCTTTGTTATTTAAACCCATGTAAGACAAAACAGTAAAAAAGGTAACTTTGCAATGGTGCACACTTTAAACCGAGTGCAGAAGTACAGAAATTTCCAGGGAACAGAGATGATAAGAGAGTAAAAGAAACGGTGTCCCTAGCACTACCTTTGGGGGTGCCTGGAGACACAGGGCAGCGAGCACCCCATCATGAAGGCTACTCCCAGGCACTCGTGAACAAGGCAGAGGGACCGAACAATGGAACGGGAAGGGAAAGGGTGAGTAAGTGCAGTACTGGTACCAACTGCCTCAGGTGTCTGCCCGCTCCCCCCAGGCCCCGTGTTGTGCAAAGACCACTGTGAGAAAGAACATTCCAGTCCCTCAAGAAAAATTCATGAAGCTAAGCAGCCTATTCAAAGGACAGCAGCCTGGGCAGGAAGATGCACACACTCATACTTAGACACGCACTACACGTACAGGTAAACACTGAGCTAGCTCCCAGTACTCCGCCTGGCTCCCCATGTTACTACTGTCTTTATTTCATGACTAATTCATTTTCATTCCAGACTGCGTGCTTTCGGGAATTCACTTTTGAGGAAATAAGTATTCTGCATTCTCTGTACCATACGACTAAATATTTATTGATGTGATTTAATTCCAAATTAAAGCTTTATACAATCATGCTAAGCTCTCCCCAGCATGGAGTGGTGGGAATAAAAACAGATTTGGATGACAATAAATTAACCCAGAAAAATTCCAGCAAAAAAGTCCAGGCCTACAGGCGGTGGGATTTTTATAAGGTAGACCACATGGAAACTAAGTATGAAAACAAATAGCTTAATTTATTTATATTACCAATGAAATGGTAGCTTAAATTCATTTGTCTAATCCCTTTCCAGAAGTACCCGTCTACGGTAAAAGTGACCCCACACCAGGTAGCATTACACTGGCTGTGTCTGGCTAATTCTCAAAGCAAACAGAAGTTGCTGGCAAACCAGGAACACTTCACGAGAGACTCTGCCATGAAGGCAGAGGGAGGCAGAGTGGGCGCAGTTACTGTCCAAGGTTATCTGAAATATATTCATTACCACTCACTGTTCTTCAAGTATCTTCTCTCACAACTGAGTCCACTCCCCAAATTTCACTAGAAGACAAACATAACCAACAGGAGATTCTGCTTCCTAATGCTAACACTCCTAATGTTTCTAGCTGGGCAAAAACCCAAAGCCTCTCCCCACAGATCCCTAACCTGGGGTGAGGAGTTTACATCAACAATTACAAGGAGCCTGAGCAGTTTCTCACGGGTGAGATTTGTGATGACTGGCAGGATCCAGGGTTAGATAGAAAGATCTGTAAGAGGTCTCCATTTAAAAGAAAAATCTGAATAAAAGCTTTAATTATATAATAAAAATGTTCCTATTAAATAAGTACTAAAAATTGATCCATTCTATCCAAAACAAAGCTGTTTTTCGATATCTAGTTTGTTTTATTTATGTTTTAACGATGTTTAGTGAGTAGTCGGATTACTGCTTTGGTTCGCTATTAAAAATGCCCAACACTGCCCTAGCCAGTTTGGCTCAGTGGATAGAGCATAAGCCTGGGGACTGAAGTGTCGCAGGTTTGATTCCAGTCAAGGGCTCATGCCCAGGTTGCGGGCTCGATCCCCAGTGTGGAGTGTGCAGGAGGCAGCCGATCAATGGTTCTCTCTCATCATTGATACTTCTTTCTCTCTCTCCCTCTCCCTTCCTCTCTGAAATCAATAAAATATATTTTTTTTCCAAAAAATGCCCAACACTTAAAAACATTCTGCAAAAAAAGTCTCAGATCCTCCCCCAAAAAACTCAAAAAGAAAAATTTGTGACACTAGATGGCAGCAAAGTGCTATGTGTACAAAGAACTCAGCTAACAGAACAAATGGGAAGGACTTCTTGAGTCCTCCCGTGAATAACAGACCTTTAAGTGGGTTATTTACTTAAATTCCAACACAAACTGCCATGAGGGTTTTATCCAGCTTTTGGCAGAATACTAAGAACAATGAATTAATTTAAATACAATGTAAACACCAAACAACTAAATAGCTTTATAACTGAAAATTTAGTTATTTATGTTTGGTAGAATGATTGGGGGGGAGGGGAGTTATCATTTTTAAACAAAACCATGAATGAAAGGATGAATGGCCTACATAGCCACATATTGAGCATTGCTGACTATCATCACAGCTGCAGCCCCAGGGACCCGGTCCCTGTCTGTACAACTACTTTTTCTCACTACCACTTGAGCCCCACCCCACCACTCCATCCACCCTTATGCACCTCCACACCTGTCTGTTAATATGGACTAAAGACCCAGTGCACGGATTCGTGCATCGGTGGGGTCCCTTGGCCTGGCCTGCGGGGATCGGGCCGAAACCGGCAGTCCGACATCCCCAGAGAGGTCCCGTAGTGCGTTGCGCGCCTGTCCCCTGGTGGTCAGTGCACGTCATAGCTATCAGCTGGTTGGCTGGTCGCTTAGGCTTTTATATATATAGTCACCCCGCTGCCTTCCTAAGCTCAACCTCTTGGTGAGCCCATCCCTTCTGCCACTCCAATGCTTAAATACCTCTCAGGTCAATCCAACAAAGAACCAAACAAGTTTCCTCGGCCCCCACTCCTCTCCCGCTGCCACCCCAGTTCCCTCTTCTCTTCCCAGATAACCCTCACAAGCCTGGTCTGTTCTGGCTGTTCCTCCTCCTGGCCTCCCACTCTCTCTTAACCCAACTCCACTGCCCTTCCCCCCATGCTCAGCTGTGGCTGCTCCCAAGGGGTTAGGTCTATGGCTGACCGCCTCTGCCACATGCTGGTCCCTTGTCTAAGTCTCACCAGCATAACCAAGTGATGGGCCCATTCCCTTTCCCCACAGGCTCCTGGCTTTCTTCCTGCCCCACTGGCCACTCCTTTCTCATGCCCTTTCTTGAATCCTCCCCCTCTCACTGATCTATAAGTGCTGCCACACCCCAGGGCTCAGTCCTTGGTCATCACTGTGACACTCAATCCCGGGTGATTCTACCCACCCCATGGCTTATAAATAAATCACTCAAATACATTTCCTGGCCCCAAACCCCTCCATCTCCTGAGCCCTAGGCTCATTTGTCCAATTGCTGACTTGATACCCTTTCCTGGATGACCTAAGAGACACCTCGAACCTCACACGTCCTGTGTGAAACTCCACCAATCTGTTCTTTCTCAGAAGCGGCACCGCTTTCCGAGTGGATCAGACCAAAACCTCCCTGTCTCCACTCTGAGCCAGTCCTAACTGGCACTTTGCTTGTCTGTCCTTCCCACCAAAAATAAGCTACACAGGGCTGGGGCTCTGTCTGATTCTGTCCCCAGAATCTATAACACCATGAGTTTGGCAAATATAGTCATCCCTCTGTATCTACAGGTCCCCCACCTGTAGATTCAACCAAACACAGATCAAAAGTATTTGGAAAAGAAATTGTTGCTGACATGTACTAGTAGTTGGACCCACAATGATTGCATCTGAACTGAATATGTAGATTTTTTTCTTGCTACCACACAGTATAACAACTATTATATAGCATTTACATTGTAGTAGGTATTGTAAGTAATCTAGAGATGATTTAAAGTATACAGGATGGCCCCAGTCAGATGGCTGGGTGCAGTGTCATCCCTTATACTAAAATGGTTGCGGGTTCAATTCCCAGTCAAGGCACATACCTAGGTTGCAGGTTCAATCCCTGGTATGGGCACATATAGGAGGCAACCTATCAATGTTTCTCTCACACATCAATGCTTCTCTCTCTTTTTCTCTCCCTCCCTCTCTCTCTAAAATCAATAAACATATCCTCAGGTGAGGATTAAAAAGAAAAAGTATACATGAGGATGTGCATGGATTATATGCAAATATGACACCATTGTACATAAGGGTCTTGAGCATCTGTGAATTTTGGTATCTGGGCAGATTTTGGAACCAATCCCCTGTGGGTATCGAGGGACATCATTGCTTAATGTGGGCATCATTGCTTAATGTGGGCATGATTGCTTAATGAGTGAGGGGAAAAAGAAAAACTTACTGAGAAGTTTTAAAAGACGTTCTCCCAAATCAAAGTTGAGACAATCATTTTCCACAAAGCAGTCCATCATATTTCATTTAACAATATAATAATGAATTTAGGAGAAAATCTCTAGTTTCAACATTTTATTGGGCTTAATATTTATTACTTCATTATTTTGCACATTAAAGCTAGCAAAAAGAGGCAATATAGAAAAGTATTTTACTTTAAGTAAAATCTAACTGATTCTGTTTGAAAGTTTTATCTTTGTTAACTAGGAAATGCAACAATTTTACTTCAAGAACAGGAGTGTGGACTGTTCTAAAACTCAGAGTACACCTGAACCTCATGCTGTACTTCTCCAGACACAACATAGAGCAGAGCTGCGCAACTGAAACGTGCCAGCCACAGGTGTAATTTTAAATGTTCTAGTGGCATCATATTCCTAGAGAGAACAGTTTCCCCGCGCGTTCACCTGACGCATCAACTCCAGGTGTGCACCTCGGTGCCCCAGCAGTGAGGACCTGTGACATGAGGGAGGACACAGAGCCTGCTACAGAGTAACCAGCCTCCGCAAACCCAGGGTGGAGTGAAGCGGGCGTCAGGAGGGCAGGATGGCCTGGACATACGCAGTCAGGACAGCCTGCCAGCAAAGAGCCAGCGCCACGGCCCAGGGCAGCAGCCAGGCCTGGGGAAGGGAGAAAGATGAAGACAAGAGCCAAGTGTAACCTACGCCTTCTCTCACCTCAATTTGCAGTTTGGTCTCCCCAGTGGTGTCATTGCTTTTCATCTAACTGATCTTTCTCAGCAGATGCCAACCTGCTTCTCCTCACCCGCCGCCTAGACTCTGCAGCCCTCAGGAGCATCTGCTGCTCTCTCGCCCCCTCCTTCTCCCCCTCCCTCCCTCCCCCCCGCACCACTGGGCCCGGCCCATGCTGTCCCTGATACCCTTCTGTGCCAAGGAAGTCAATCCACTCACTCTTCCACACTCAGATCAAACACATTTCCTCGGCCAAGCCTTCCCCAATGGCTCCAATTAGATTTCTTCTACACACACTACTCAAATCTTTACTTGATGATTATGATAAATGAATTTAAGTAACTAAAAATGAGAAAAAAAACACCCTACATTTCCTGAGCACTTACTATAAGCCCAACAACTTACATTCATAATCTTATTAATGGTGAGAGTAGCCTGTGAGGAAGGCAGTATTATCCCCACTTCACAGATGTCTAAAGTAAGGCTTAAGGAGTTTAGGTAACTTCAAGGTGATACACAAGGACGTGGCAGAATGAGCATCTGAAGTGGGCCTGCCTGGCTCTACAGGCAGAAAAGGCAGGGATCAGGGTGACTCACCTCTGGGTCCCCAGGGCACTGCCCAGCTCTCTGTACTTAATAGGTGCTTGATATGTTTTTGTTGAATGAGCGATCCTTACCCAAAAAGCAATCTCCTTGCCTCCCTGTTCACTTGATGGCCCTGTGTACTTGCCATGGCAACAAATCACAGACAACGCCCCGCAGGGAGGGCTCCTTTCATAAACACTGCACCACCAGCATCACACATCAGTGGCTGCGGTCCAGCTGCCAAACTCACTCAGAAGTGTTTTCATTTTCTTTCACAAAATCCTAAGATAAAGTGTTTTTGAAAAACAAGCTGGTAATTCTATCTTACAAGGAATTAAGTAAGTGCAAAAATATTCTCTCCTTTCTACTTAAAAGATGTTATCACTGAGCATGACCAGTGCCTGGTGACGACTGAAAGGCCAGTGCTCATCCCACAGCTCCTGACCTACTGAGAGCATGTGAAGATAGTGGCCCCTTTCACTGTGCTGCAGCTGCTTGTCCCGGGCTGGGGCGGCTTGGCCTTGGATGGCGCCCTCCGCTCAGGCAGGCCCTCCCTGGCTCACTGGGCTGACCCCACCTGACCGTTCCTGACACTGAGCCTCTGCAAACCGAGCCCAGAGACAGAGGCCTCAGGGCCAGTGACCGTGGAGGTCCTTGCGGCAGAAGAGCTTCTGAAGTTGCCTAAGGCCTAGAGGTGATGAGCACGAAACTGCCCAAGGAGGCAAATGTGACCTCTCACTACTGGGCACCCTGGCAGGACCCCTGGCTTAAAGGCCTTTATTTTGACATGAGACTAGCCATTCCAAGTACTGACAGATTTCCCAAGGAAATCTGGGAATTTCTTGCCTCCTCCTAGTAGAGGTAACACAGAGTATAGGACCTTAAATAATAGTGGGTAATTATCAATGTTTTAAGAATTGTGGTAAGCCATGACCAGTTTGGCCGAGTGGATAGAGCGTCGGCCTGCGGACTGAAGGGTCCCAGGTTCTATTCCAGTCAATGGCATGTGCCTTGCTTGCGGGCACATCCCCAGTGGGGAGTGTGCAGGAGGCAGCTGATCGATGTTTCTCTCTCATTGATGTTGCTAACTCTCTATCCCTTTCCCTTCCTCTCTGTAAAAAATCAATAAAATATATTTTTTTAAAAAAGAATTGTGGTAAAATGCATAATATAAAATTAACCATTTCTAAGTGCAGAGTTCAGGGACATTACATCCATTTACACTGCTATGTAACTGTCATCACCACTATCCAACCAACAGAACTTTTTTCATCTTCCCAAACTAAAACGCCGTACCCACTAATACCAACTCCCCATCCCCCTCCTCCCAGCCCCTGGCAGCCACCCTTCCACTTTCTGTCTCTGAGTTTGACTACTTTAGATACCTCATATAGGTGGAATCATACAGTATTTGTCTTTTTGTAACTTGGCTTATTTCACTTAGCACATCAGAATAATAGCCCATTGTACAGATATAACCAATTTTGTTCATTATTCAACCATTGATGGACGCCTGGGTTGCTTCTACCTCTTGGCTATTGTGAATAATGCTGCTGTGAAATGGGTGCATGGAAATCTCTTTAAGATCCTGCTTTCAGCCGAAACCGGTTTGGCTCAGTGGATAGAGCGTCGGCCTGTGGACTGAAAGGTCCCAGGTTCGATTCCGGTCAAGGGCATGTACCTGGGTTGCGGGCATATCACCAGTAGGAGATGTGCAGGAGGCAGCTGATCGATGTTTCTCTCTCATCGATGTTTCTAACTCTCTATCTCTCTCCCTTCCTCTCTGTAAAAAAATCAATAAATATATATTTAAAAAAAAAAAAAAAAAAAAAAAAAGATCCTGCTTTCAATTCTATGTTCCTAGAAGTGAAATTGCTGGGTCACATGGCGATTCCATGTTAATTTTTTGAGAAGTAACTACTGTTTTATAAATGTTACTAGAGGCCCAGTGCACGAAATTAGTGCACAGGTAGGGTCCCTAGTGGCTGCTGGCCGGGGGCGCCTCCCTTCTCCCAGCCACCTGCCGCTGCCACTGGCCCCGCCCCCTGGTCTAATTCCTGGTCGAGGGGACAATTTGCATATTAGGCTTTTATTATATAGGATTGTTGATCAATGTATCACTAGATGGTGGATTTAACTGAAATAGCCATTAGCTCTGTCCTGCCTATTACAGCTTGGGGGGCGGGGGGAAGGGGGAGGAGATGGGAGCTCTTTCCAGATGTTCAGCTTTCAAAAGTAACATTCTCCCAATATGGCTGAGGAGAGCCACATAAAATATGTGTTTCAACCATAAAAATCCTAGAACAAAACATAGGCAGAAAAATCTCAGACATTTCTCATAGCAATATTTTTTCTAATATTGTGTATCTCCTCAGGTAAGGAAAACAAAATAAATAAATAGGACGATATCAAACTAACAACTTTTTGCACAGGAAAGGAAATCCTCAACAAAATGAAAAGCCAACCCACTGAATGGGAGAACATATTTGCCAATGATATATCTGATAAGGGGTTAACATCCAACATTCATAAAGAACTTATATAACTCAACACCAAAAAAACCCAAATAATACAATTAAAAAATGGACAAAGGAAATAATACAATTAAAAAATGGGCAAAGGGCCTGAATAGACACTTCTCCAACAGACATGAAAAGATGCTCAACTTCACTAATCATCACAGAAATGCAAATTAAAACCTGTCAGAATGGCTATCACCAATAAAGGAACAAACAATTGTTGGCGAGGATATGGAGAAAAGGGAACCCTCGTGCACTGTTGGTGGGAATGCAGACTGGTGCAGTCACTGTGGACAACAGTATGAAGTTTCCTCAAAAAAACTAAAAATGGGACTTCAGGGAATATATCCAAAGAAACCTAAAATAGTAATTTAAAGGAATATATGCACCCCCATTTCACTGCAGCATTATTTACAATAGCCAAGATTTGGTAGCAGCCCAAGTGCATATCGATAGATGAGTGGCCATTAGAAAAAATATCCTTGGGTGAGGATTAAAAAAAGAGAGAGAGAGAAATATGATTAGATAAGCAATGCATAAGAATAGCTTAGCATAGGGATGAAGTAGAAAATAACACTAATACTATTATCAAAAGTAATGAATGAATACTTCATTAAGTTCTTAATATGGAGGACAGAGCGAAAGCTGCCCCTCATCCAGCATTTCTATCTGTCAAACCTCTTGCATGATTGACTTGAATTTCTACTAAAAACTTACCAGGTCACAGAACTCAAACACCAGAAGGTAGGGAATCGCTTCTACACACTGCCCGACACATTGAAGAACATTCGGATGCTGAAGAATACTGGGGAAAAACAGTCACAGTACGTTCATCAGAAAGCACGAGTAACACTGTTCAAACAGTAACCACATTTTAACATTCATTGTGATTTAAATAGGATAAGCTGAAAAGAGCTCATTAACAGATTGATTGTTATCTAATGATTAAATAATTCAAAGGTAATCAGGTGAACATTTTCAAAATCTCTAATTTTAGTAATTTTAATTTATAGATGACCATTTTGAAGTAGCACTTTTAAAAAGGCAGGGCAAATATATAAAGTTCATAAGCATTTCAATCCATATATTAAATAGGCCAGCTACCTTATATACTATCTACCTAGGCTATCTACCTTATATACTACTAGTATTTCCAATATTTCCACAACATATGCAAACTCTTTTCTGGAAAATATTTTGTCCAAAATAAAGTTTTTAAAAAAAAGATATGCCAAAATAGCTTTTTAAAAAGCTTTTTATTTTGAAGCAATTATGACTTAACAATAAGTTCCTTCGCCCGGTTTCCCCTGGTTACATCTGATAACCACAGTGCAGTACCAAAACCAGGGCACTGACACAGCACCCATGTGTGTATGTGTGTGTGCTGTTATCACATGGGTAGATTCCCACAACCACCAAACCACCACCTGAACAGAAATGCAGAAGTGCTCCAACACCACACAGACCTTCCCAAGTTACCCTGGGTCAGTTTAAGCCACCCCACTGCCTCCCCATTTCCCTGCCTCCCTAAGCCCTGGCAACAGCTAATCTGTTTTCCATTTCTATGATGTTCTCATTTTGAGAATATTATGTATATGGAATCGTACAGTATGTGGCCTTTTAAGATGGACTTTTTCACTTAACATAATGCCGGGGTCCAGCCCCAGCGGGTCCAGGGGTCCCCAAAGGTGTGGACGGAGTCGGCGAAGAAGGAATGACACGGATACAGCGTTCAGTTGATCAGCAGCCTAGCCAGGATCTCTAGCCAGGATCTCCAGCCAAGTTCTGGTCTGGATCTCCAGAGAGGTTCTGCTTAGGATCTCCAGCTAGGTTCTGTGTCCATGTTCTCTTGCTAGGTTCTCCAGCCAGGTTCTGTAGCCATGTTCCCTCGCTAGGTTCTCCAGCCAGGTTCAGTCACCAGGTTCTAGTCAGGTTCTCTTGCCAATTTCTGTAGTCAGGTTCAGTCCAGGATCTTTTGCCATGTTCTCTCCAGCGAAGTTCTTCTGTCTGTAGGTTCTGTGTTCTAAGCTCTGTATTCTAAGTTCTGTGTTCTAAGTTCTGTCGAAGTTCTTCTGTCTGTAGGTTCTGTGTTCTAAGCTCTGTATTCTAAGTTCTGTGTTCTAAGTTCTGTAACAGTATGCCATATATGCCAGGTCCTTTGAAACAGCAAGGATGGACCGGCTCCCGGCAAATCCCCCCTTTTTTATTTTTTAAAAGCAGGCATTAAAAAGAAAAACCTGAAATGCTCTCTTGTCAATACAGAGTCTTATTTCTTTAGACTCAGTATGGCACATCTTCTTAATCTAAAGATCAATACAGAGTCTTCTTTCTTTGGACTCAGTTTGGCACATCTTCTCAATCTAAGAATCAATACAGAGTCTTCTTTCTTTGGACTCAGTATGGCACATCTTCTCAATCTAAGTTCTGTACTATCCACCTTCTTACCCTACTTATCCTCTGTAGGGGGGTCTGCAGTACCCTGGTGGAGTCCTATCCGTCCCGAGTGGGGGGGTTCTCAATGGGGGGGCTTACCTAGGGGAATCCTGTTCCAGGGCTTCCCAAAGGTGTGGACGGAGTCGGCGAAGACTATCCACCCTCTCCTACGGTGGAGTCCTATCCATCCCGAGAGTGGGGCGCTTACCTAGGGGTCCCTGTTCGGGCGCCATATGCCGGGGTCCGGCCCCAGCGGGTCCAGGGGTCCCCAAAGGTGTGGACGGAGTCGGCGAAGAAGGAAGGGCACGGAGACAGTGTTCAGTTGATCAGCAGCCTAGCCAGGATCTCTAGCTTCAGATCTCCAGCCAGGTTCTGTGTCCATGTTCTCTTGCTAGGTTCTCCAGGTTCTCCAGCCAGGTTCTGTAGCGATGTTCCCTCGCTAGGTTCTCCAGCCAGGTTCAGTCACCAGGTTCTAGTCAGGTTCTCTTGCCAATTTCTGTAGTCAGGTACAGTCCAGGATCTTTTGCCACGTTCTCTCCAGCGAAGTTCTTCTGTCTCTAGTTCTGTGTAGGTTCTGTGCCTCCTGGTTCTGTCTTCTTCTGTCCAACCCCAGCAGGTCCAGGGGTCCCCAAAGGTGTGGATGGAGTCAGCGAAGAGGGACTCAGAGGCAGCGTTCAGTTGATCAGCATGGTTGGGTTCTCTAGCCAAGTTCTGGTCAGGATCTCCAGCGAAGTTCTGCTGTGGATCTCCAGCCAGGTTCTGTGTCCAGTCCTCCAGCCAGGTTCTGTAGCCATGTTCCCTTGCTAGGTTCTCCAGCCAGGTTCTGTGTCCATGTTCTCTTGCTAGGTTCAGTCACTAGGTTCTAGTCAGGTTCTCTTGCCAGTTTCTGTAGTCAGGTTCAGTCCAGGATCTTTTGCCATGTTCGCTCGCTAGGTTCTGTCTCTAGGTTCTGAGGCCAGTTTCTGTCCAGTATCTTTTGCCATGTTCTCTCCAGCGAAGTTCTTCTGTCTCTAGAGAACATTCTGTGTAGGTTCTGTGCCTAGGTTCCGTCTCTCTTGGTTCCGTATTCTAAGTTCTGTGTCTTACTGTCTTATTACATCTGTATTTATACCAGTTGATTCAATCCTATCAATCTCTATTACAAAGGTTAGGGCGTTTCTTATCTCCATTCCAGGGAGTAAAGATTATGTAGCTTAAGCATGATTGTTCGTAGTTAAAGTGATTAATTACCCACCTGGCACTAGTTAAGAGGTTTTATTCCCTCCCTAACTTCAGGGGAAAATCCCTACCTGGGGAAACAACCTTTCTCAGAGACCTTGGTTAAAACACATAGTGCCAAGAAGGTGAGCAAACATATTAAGAACAGTATGCCATACATGCCAGGTCCCTTGAAACAGCAAGCATGGACCGGCTCCCGGCAAATTCCCCCTTTTTTATTTTTTAAAAGCAGGCATTAAAAAGAAAACCCCGAAATGCTCTCTTGTATCCATTTTAAGAGTAGGATTGGCGCTTTCCACTATTACCTGAGTCCTGATCTATCACCCCAGGGAGAGCTTGCCAATCCTGCACTTTCCCAGGGTGGAAAGGCTGCAGTGGGGTTAAGGATAAGGCTCCTTGGGCCTACCTTCTCCCATGCCATTACATTTACCTTTCCTTCCTCAGAAAAACATGGACATACTTCTTGTATAAAACGTTCTGTCTGACTGGGAGTAACCTTAATTCCTCTGCTAGCAAGCATATGTGTTAAAAGATCAATACAGAGTCTTTTTTCTTTAGACTCAGTATGGCACATCTTCTTAATCTAAAGATCAATACAGAGTCTTCTTTCTTTGGACTCAGTATGGCACATCTTCTCAATCTAAGAATCAATACAGAGTCTTCTTTCTTTGGACTCAGTATGGCACATCTTCTCAATCTAAGTTCTGTACTATCCACCTTCTTACCCTACTTATCCTCTGTAGGGGGGTCTGCAGTACCCTGGTGGAGTCCTATCCGTCCCGAGTGGGGGGGTTCTCAATGGGGGGGGGCTTACCTAGGGGAATCCTGTTCCAGGGCTTCCCAAAGGTGTGGACGGAGTCGGCGAAGACTATCCACCCTCTCCTACGGTGGAGTCCTATCCATCCCGAGAGTGGGGCGCTTACCTGGGGTCCCTGTTCGGGCGCCACATGCCGGGGTCCAGCCCCAGCGGGTCCAGGGGTCCCCAAAGGTGTGGACGGAGTCGGCGAAGAAGGAATGACACGGATACAGCGTTCAGTTGATCAGCAGCCTAGCCAGGATCTCTAGCCAGGATCTCCAGCCAAGTTCTGGTCTGGATCTCCAGAGAGGTTCTGCTTAGGATCTCCAGCTAGGTTCTGTGTCCATGTTCTCTTGCTAGGTTCTCCAGCCAGGTTCTGTAGCCATGTTCCCTCGCTAGGTTCTCCAGCCAGGTTCAGTCACCAGGTTCTAGTCAGGTTCTCTTGCCAATTTCTGTAGTCAGGTTCAGTCCAGGATCTTTTGCCATGTTCTCTCCAGCGAAGTTCTTCTGTCTGTAGGTTCTGTGTTCTAAGCTCTGTATTCTAAGTTCTGTGTTCTAAGTTCTGTCGAAGTTCTTCTGTCTGTAGGTTCTGTGTTCTAAGCTCTGTATTCTAAGTTCTGTGTTCTAAGTTCTGTAACAGTATGCCATATATGCCAGGTCCTTTGAAACAGCAAGGATGGACCGGCTCCCGGCAACATAATGCCCTCAAGATTACCCAAGTTGTTGCCTGTATCAATAAGCATTTCAATCCACATACTAAATAGCCCAGCTACTCCTAGGCTATCTACCTTATATCTATTCCTTTTTATTGCTGAGTAGTCCCTGGTATGGAGTATCAGTTTGTTTAAGCATTCACCTACTGAGACACATTTTCATTTTGAGTCTTAAGTTATGAGACTCTGGATCTGATTTACATTGTGTATTTTGCAAAGAGAAATTTCGAAGTTTAGTTTTTGGGGGCCTTAAAAAATATTTTGGTTTTACTCAAAAGCAAACATATTTGGTAGATAAAATATTCTTAGATCTAACAATGTTGTAATTTTAAGTGACATATTTAAAATATTGTTCCTCGGATGAAGTTTTGCAATCTGTCCATACAGAGATAAAGAGAGAGATTTCCTAAATGAGTTCATTTTCGTTATCCATGACAAGTGCACAACATGACATGCAGTGGAATAAGCAGGACAAGCAGATGTGCCTGTGACATCAATGTCGGTTTCCTTTGAGGTCCCCTGTGTCTGGCTGACAAATCTCAATCTTCCATTCTCCCTTAGGGTCACAAAATCAATTTGTTGCCAAGAACCTTGACAATCGTACTCTAGTTCTTGCTTTTGGAATTACAATGCTATCCTTTTCCTGACTAGGAACTCTCATGTTCTATAGCTCCCTTTAGATTTGTTGTTTTTTTAATTTGAGTATAGTTGGTATACAGTATTAGTTTCAGGTGTACAATATAATGATTCAACATTTATACACTTTACAATGTAATTACAAAGTAGTTTTAAACACGTGATTTTCAAAAGACCACACACTGCGTTTACAGAACATATATTAAGGTTTACTTACTAGTACGGTTCTCCATTTTTCAAAAAAGTATCTTGTTCCTTTGGGCTTGCACTTGCTTTTAACTCCTTCACTATCACTCTTGCCACACTAGTGCCTGTGAAAATCTCTCCAAGGAGGGCCTAAAACCAAAGAACAGGTTTTCATTTCACTTCCCACAAAACGGTAAAGAAGTGTGCCTCGTTTATTAAGCTTGGAAAAGTAAAATACAACCTTCAGTTTTAAACCATTCATTAGATATTTACAATATTCATAAATTGATGTGTATCTCTTTTCTACTTACTTAAAAATGTATTATACTTTCATGGAAATTTCCAATGGTATTACAGAAGAGTAATCTGTACATTCAGTTCAAACATAACTTAAATATTTCTCAAAAACATTTCAAATGAGTTTTTTTATTTTTGTCTCCTTCACATAGAGAAAGTAAACTACCTAAGACCCAATGTACAAACAAATTATCACTGCATTACAATGCTAAAAATCCATGGCATTCCAATTATTCCAGGCCATTGTCTTGTACTAAAATCTTAATCAAAACTCAGTGCGGGAGGGAATATAGCACTGACATTAATAAAAAACTAAATGAGAATGAAAATAAGTTACACATGAAATATTAAATGTAATATAAGATGATGCTAAGGCATTCCAAAATATAATATCCTATATAATAAAAGCCAGCGACCGAATGGCAGAACAACCAGAACCGGTCGACCAGTCACTATGACGCACACTGACCACCAAGGGGCAGACGCTCAATGCAGGAGCTGCTCCCTAGTGGTCAGTGGGCTGCCACAGTGGGAGTGCCGCTTGGCTGACTGTGATGAGCGGTTGCTCCCGCTGCAACCCCCGGACCGATTGGCAGGAACCCGGGCTGCGATCATCGCAGGCTCCTCCTCCTCACTCCCTGCCGCCTCCTCAGAATGCCCACAGGCCGTGCAGTGCCACCACCAGGCTCGCAAAGCTGACCCCAGAGGCTGGGAGGTGAGTTTGTGGCCACCATGGGACTGAGGCCCACTCCGCCGCCTCTCAGTGCTATTGTCCCTGGGCCCAGCCCCAACCGGGTCCTCTGGAGAGATGAGTGCTCTGGCTCCATGAAAGATGCCGGACCAGAGAGCAGCTGCTCAGAGGGCGGGTCCATAGCTACTCGGCTGACTGGGATGCCACACCCCCACCAGTGCAAGAATCCCGTGCACCAGGCCTCTAGTCTAAAGTAAAAATGATGATGAAGTAAAAGTTTTTATTTAATTTGAGAATGATCAAAACTAAAGGCTGGCTTTTAGAAGTTATTTTATCTTTTTATAAAACAGATTCATTGTAATACCCTGAAAAGAGAGAGCATATACTAAAACAGAATTTAATGTCTTTATTAGGACTATAAGGGCAGAAATATGAACAGAACAAGAAATTCTGATAATTAACAGTCATATTTTTTTTTGTTTCAAAGAGCCAACTTGTGCCAATCCTATATAATAAAAGGGTAATATGCAAATTGACACTAACAGCAGAATGACCAGAACGACCGCTGGACCAGTCACTATGAAGCACACTGACCACCTCCTGGTCCCTTTCCCCAGCCAGCAGGCTCCGATCACCTGATGGCCACCCGCGGCAGGGGCAAGGCCTGCAAGCGAGTGGGAACAGCCGACCTCTTGGTCCCTTCCCCTGGCCATCAGGCACCGATCACCCAATGGCGAATGGGGAACCGGGGTTGAGTAGCAGCAGGGGGCGGAGCCAGCTGCAGGCAGCTGGGAAAGATGGCCCTGATTGCAGGCCAGACCTAGGGACAGTACCTGTGCAAGAATTTCATGCGCTGGGTCTCTAGTATTCTATAAGACTAATAACCATAAGGTATTAATTTCAAAAAGGGAAAGAATGATAGTATGCTATTGCAATAACCTGGCTCATTGTTTCTCTCCCCGCCACCACTGTTACCATTCTTGATGTTCAATAGATGCAGGGACAAGTTCTTCAAAACCACAACCTATCAGTTCTTTGCTCTCACTTCCAATAATCATTTTCCTACGATCCCATCTCAGCAAACACCCCCATGAGTCTATGCCTAGCTAATTAATAAATATAGTATGTCCCAAACTTTGAATTTTAACTTCTTCTCTGCCAGTCCTTTGATTTCCAGCTCACTTACTTCAACAGTCTAATCCAACAAGTGTGCAACTTGTCCTCTGAGTCCAGTAATGATACCACTTGTCTACCACCATCTTGGCTGGTCCCAAAGGTCTCCTACTCCATTTCTCTACTTGCTTTAGAGTAAACCTCCTCTACAGACTTGTCTAAATACGCTGTCTCCACTTTCTCCCTTGAACTTCCTCAGGAGTGCAGAAGGCAACTGATCAATGATTCTCTCTCATTACTGAAGTTTATCTCTCCCTCTCTCTCTCTCTCTCTCCCTTCCTCTCTGAAATCAATAAAAATATATTTAAAAAAATAAATAAAAATAAAAGACCTTCATAGAAAAACATACCACACAGGAATGTTGAAGCTCACATTCCCATGCAGTTTTACAGGGTAATGGGAAAAATCAATGAGGACTACAACATATGGAGAGAATGTGGAATGTCACGCAATACAATTCTTAATTAGCCTTAAGTTCTAAACAGTATAAGTAGGAGGAAAAAAATAGAAGTGAACAACACTTTACCTTTCCAAACCAGCCATTTCCAATTTCCTGTATGTAGTTAAGACTGTGGCGGGAAACTTGAGACTTCAAACCTTCTGTAGGAAAAATTAAAGAACGTTAAAAACTAAAAATAGGTATTTAACTGAAATAAATTAAATATTAAATACACAACCTAGCCCTGAGCGGTTTGGCTCAGCGGATAGAGCGTCGACCTGCGGACTGAAGGGTCCCAGGTTCGATTCCGGTCAAGGGCATGTACCTTGGTTGCGGGCACATCCCCAGTGGGGGTGGTGCAGGAGGCAGCTGATCAATGTTTCTCTCTCATTGATGTTTCTAACTCTCTATCCCTCTCCCTTTCTCTCTGTAAAAAATCAATAAAATATATTTTTAAAAAAATATATACAACCTATAGCCAGCTGGTGTAGCTCAGTGGTTGAGCTCGACCCATGAACCAAGAGGTCAGTGGTTCAATTCCCAGTCAAGGGCACATGCCTGGGTTGCAGGGTCGATCCCCAGTAGGGGGCGTGCAGGAGGCAGCTGATCAGTGATTCTCTGTCATCATTGACATCTCTATCTCTCTCTCCCCCTCCCTTCCTCTCTCTCTAATATCAATAAAAAATATTTAAAAAATACAACCTATAAAGTTCAAACAGCAACATAAATTTAATACTTGTGCTAATAAAGAAACAAATACATAAAACATCTCTTTCAAACTAACAATGCCAAAACGTTTTAAAACTGACAATATTTTGTAATTGAGTATCCCACCTTGATTCTCCAATAACTTGTACTGTTTTTTTTCTGACCTAACTACACTACTATAACCTCTAGTCACCATCCTGCTGGCCTTTAGTTAGTCCTGTTTCGTGGTGGAGCAGGGAACCCCAGGGACTGTCCCTCCCTATCTTAGGGTGCAAAGTCCATTTGATTAACAAATCCAAATACACCCTTCCTCCCAAACACAGGGCACCCCAGAAGACAGCAGAGTCCATTCAGCATGACAAGCAGGCAGAGAACTAGGAGAGAAGCTTGTCTACTGAAAAAGAGGCAGGAGCCCTGGCTCAGTGGATAGAAGCCAGGTCCTCGGACTAACGGGTCCTAGGTTCAATTCCGGTCAAGGACACTTACCTCGCTTGCAGGCTTGATCTGTGTGCGGGAGGCAACCAATGGATGTGTCTCACATCGATGTTTCTCTCTCTCTCTCTCTCTTCCCCTCCCTTCCTCTCTCACAAAATCAATGGAAAAATATCCTCGGGTGAAGATTAACAAAAAAAAAAGAAAGAGAAGGCAGAAGCTCTGTCCAAGAGTTCCACTCTAATGAAGTGAGGAGGCCAGTTTATTCTTAAAACAGATCCAGGGTCCAAAGGAAAGGACTCAACTTTTGCGGGAATGCAATCGGCCTGACCATTCAGCCTCAGCAGGGAGAGAAGGAAGAGAAATAAGCCCCCGGAGGAGACAGCCGGCACAATTATTTTATGATTCCCAGCAAGGTTCCCAGTCTCACCTCTTAGAAAGAACTCAGGAAAACACGAAGGTCTTACCTACAGAAGGCTGGAACTGGGATGGAGCTGGTAGTGAAACATTTGGTACGGAAAGTGTGAACACTTCCGCTGGGGACTGAACGGAGGGAGTATCTTCTGCTGGTGGTGTGAAATCTATCTCGTCATCAAAGTTATCTTCAAATTCCTAACATAAAAGAAGAGCAATGTTATAGTGAATATAGGTCAATTTGGGAACAAATCCTTAAAACCACTGGCTAACATTTAATATATGAACATTTATTCACTTATTTGGAATATGTGGCCATAATTTGTTCCCCAATTCACACTTATTTCAAGTAAAAAGCATATGTACTTGGGTTCTCAACTCCAAACAACAGAATAAATAAGACTTGAAAATAAATTATATATATATTTTATGTAACTCTTTAGGCTGACAGCTTGAAGTTAAATGTAAAATCCTATACAGTAAAAGACTAATATGCAAATTGACAGAACGGCAGAACTACTGGTCACTGTGACGTGTACTGACCACCAGAGGGCAGACACTCAATGCAGGAGCTGCCCCCTGGTGGTCAGTGCGCTCCCACAGGGGGAACGCCGCTCAGTCAGAAGCCGGGCTCACAGTGCGGAGCGGGCCTAAGCCGTAAGTCGGACATCCCCCGAGGGGTCCCAGACTGCGAGAAGGCGCAGGCCAGGCTGAGAGACCTCCCTGAGTGCACGAATTTCATGCATCAGGCCTTTAGTTTTCTATAATGACCATGGAACTTAAAATGGAAATACTCTTCTAAGTTCAAAATTTTACTTTTAAGTTATTATAGTCTAAGCCAGTGATTCTCAACCTTCCTAATGCCGCGACCCTTTCATACAGTTCCTCATGTTGTGGTGACCCCCAACCATAAAATTATTTTCGTTGCTACTTCATAACTGTAATTTTGCTACTGTTAAGAATTGTAATGTAAATATCTGATATGCAGGATGTATTTTCATTGTTACAAATTGAACATAATTAAAGTATAGTGATTAATCACAAAAACAATATGTAATTATATATGTGTTTTCCGATGGTGTTAGGCGACCCCTGTGAAAGGGTCGTTCGACACTCAAAGGGGTCGCAACCCACAGGTTGAGAACCGCTGGTCTAAGCTATTCTTTTTTCTTATTATTCACTTTCATAGATCTTTTTGCATATTGAATCAAAACAATTTATTTTAAAATTGTATATGCACTTCTGGTTACAATGTGATTTTAATCAAAACAATGAAGTTAAAAGACTCAGAAAAGGTATTTTTAGGCAAGTCCTATTTATCTGAAAAGAGTAGAATAAAAAATTAATCGAGGTAGAAAATAATCTGAGATCTGAACACCAAGATTACAGTATAAAACTGTAGCACACAAGTGCAGCTGACATTCTAAGAACATCCGGGTTTCTAAAGATGGCAACTTGAAAACCGAGGCCGCTCTAGTTGAGCTGCAGAAACCTTTGAAGTGACTTTGTTCAGCAGAAAACTATCTTACCTGTTCCCATCAGCGAGCTGGGTCTGCCTTGGTGTCCATGTTAACACAGATACAGCTGATTATCAAGGTCATTCGTTCCCTCATGTAATGAAAGAGTATTACACCACCAGGACGTAACAGAATGAACAAGACTGCTTTCCATTCCTCACAGAACAACCATTTCATTTTCTACCACCTCCCACAGCCCTCCATATAAGGAAGAAACTAAAAGCTGCAAGGGCAGATTCCTCTGATGGAGCATTTATGTTCTCACGTGCATGTGAGGGGGCATTCTTCCATATATGTCATATATGTTGTCATATGCATTAGGGCATCATTGCTAATGGGAAGCGGGAAGCAGAATAAGTGAGGTACACCTTCAAACAAGAGCTGTGTCAACTTTCCTTCTGGACATTCCTAAAGGTTCTCCCATTGAAAATAACTTTATCCATCACTCCCACCTTAGAAATAATGCTACTCAAGACTTTGCCACAGCATGATACACCATTAGGCAGCAGATGATTCTAAGGTTCAGAGAGGGTGGCCGGCTGATGTGGCTCAGTGGCTGAGTGTCAACCTAAGAACCAAGAGATCATGATTCGATTCCAGGTCAGGGCACAAGCCCGGAGGCAGGAGGGAGCCAATCGATGATGTTCCTCTCTATCATTGATGTTTCTATCTCTCCTTCTCCTTTCCCCTCTCTAAAAATCAATAGAAACCTTCTACCCACCTGAGGCTATACAAGACAGTATTTACAATTGGCAGCATTCTTCTTTCTCCCCACTTAGGGAGCTGTAGGGTTCAAGGTAAACTGAAAGATGCTCTCCTCATATACGAAACACCCTAGGGGATCCCTTGGCCTCAACAATCACAGACTCACCAGCATACAAAAGTTTTGGGAAAAATCAAAACCAGCCTGCTCTTCCTTGTAGGCCTTATAGCAAATAAATACACACTCTTATAGCAAGTGAATCATCACATTCTATTCCTCCCATTCAAAACTTAAAATTGTCAATAATGCTCTAAGGCAGGGCAAGCAAATTACAGCTAGTGAGCCAAATCCAAACTACCCATTTTTATAGTTTTACTAGAGGCCCGGTGCACAAAAATTTGTGCACTCGGGGGGGGGGGGGGTGTCCCTCAGCCCGGCCTGTGCCCTCTCGAAGTCTGGGACCCCTCGGGAGATAACAACCTGCTGGCTTAGGCCTGCTCCCGGGTGGCAGAGGGCAGGCCCAATCCCTAGGTGCAGCCCCTGCTCGGGCTCAGAGCAGGGCCGATTGGGGAGCTGGGGCGCCGCCCCCTGTCATGCACAGAGCAGGGCGGATCGGCAGGTTGCGATGCCACCCTCAGTCACGCTCAGGGTAGGGCCGATTGGGGGGTTGGGGCACCGTCCCCTGTCACACTCAAGGCAGGGTCGACGGGGAGGTTGCGGCGCCACCCCGTCACGTACAGAGCAGGGCCAATCAGGTGTTTGGGGCACTGCCCCCTGTCACTCACAGAGCAGGGCCCATCAGGGGGGTTGGGGCTCTGTACCCTGTCATGCGCAAAGCAGGGCCAATCAGGGGGTTGGGGCGCTGCCCCCTGTCACACACAGAGCAGGGCCCATCAGGGGGTTGGGGCGCCGCCCTCTATCACCCACAGAGCAGGGCCGATCAGGGAGTTGGGGCGCCGCCACTCTCATACTCAGGGCAGGGCCGATGGGGAGGTTATGGCTCTACCCCGTCACACACAGAGCAGAGCCCGTGGGGGGCGGGGGGGTTGGGGCGCCGCACCCTGTCACACACAGAGCAGGGCCGATCAGGGGGTTAAGGCGCCGCACCCTGTCACACACAGAGCCGCAGGGTGATCAGGGTGTTGGGGAGCTCCCCCCTATCAGGCACAGAGCAGGGCTGATCAGGGGGTTGGGGCGCTTTCCCCTGTCACACACAGAACCGCAGGGTGATCAGGGGGTTTGGGCGCTGCCCCCTGTCATGCTGATCCCGGTGCCTGGAGGCCTCGCGGCTCCGCTGATCCCGGTGCTGGGAGGCATATTACTCTTTTACTATATAGGGTAGAGGCCTGGTGCACGGGTGGGTGCCGGCTGGTTTGCCCTGAAGGGTGTCCTGGATCAGGGTGGGGGTCCCCACTGGGGTGCCTGGCCAGCCTGGGTGAGGGGATGATGGCTGTTTGCAGCTGGTCACACACCTTTCAGGGTGGGGGTCCCCACTGGGGTGCCTGGCCAGTCTGGGTGAGGGGCTGAGGGCTGTTTTCAGGCTGGGGGTGACTGAAGCTCCCAACTGCTCCTTTTTTTCTTTTTTTTTTCTTTTTTATTCTGGGCCAGCTTTAGCTTTGAGGCTTGGCTCCAGCTCTTAGGCCTCCACTGCTGAAAGTAGGTTTCTGGCCTTTGCTTACAATGTTGCGATCCTGCTGGCTGAAGCCCGGCGGCGAACTAAAGCAGGTTTCTGGGGTTTTGTTTAGCTTCTATATTTCTACATAGTTGCTTAGAGTTGCAGCTCAGAGGCCTGCAGCGGCAGGCGGGGAACGTTGGAGTCCTCCGTCACTGAAGCAAGCAAGCCTCATGTTAGTTTCAAGCTGCCTGGCTGCCGGCCACCATCTTGGCTGGCAGTTAATTTGCATATTGCCCTGATTAGCCAATGGGAAGGGTAGCGGTCGTACGCCAATTACCATGTTTCTCTTTTATTAGATAGGATTGGTACATCTGTTTCTGTGCTATCTATGGCTGATGTAGCACTACGATGGCAGAGCTGAGAATTGAGTAGCTGTGACAAGACCCTGCATGGCCTATGGTATTTACTATTTACAATGGAAGAATATATTTAGTATTGGTTCTTACAGAAGAAGTCTGCCCACCCGTGCTCCCAAGGGAGTGTAAGATTTAGCCATCCTATTGATAAATGTTTCAGAGGATGATTTTGAATGTTCCCACTATCTGTGCTCACCTTAAAGTCTATTTCTGGGTCTTTACAGCAGGATACACAATTTGCAATTAACACGATTAATATAATGAAACTGCACACAGATAGGATCACAAAAGATGAGGAAACTTCGGCAGCAGGTGACTCCCCTGGAAAGAGAAATAAGTAATATTAACATCGTAGACATTCCAAAATCAACTTTAATAAACAAATCAATATATTTTCCACCAAATATAAATGGGGCCAAGAGTTAATAAAATAATGCTTAAATGTTCAGGATAAAGATGACAACCAACCCAAGATAAGAAGCTAGGGTTTAAAAATCTTATTGTGAAATCATCTTAGATTTACAGAAAAGTTCCAGAGACAATCCAGAGTCCCCATGCCCCTTCCCCAGCTCCCACTGACATTCACATCTTATGTTTCCACGGTGCACGTATCAAAGCTAAGACAGTAACATTGGTACAACACCAGTAACTGAACTTCAGACTTTATTTGGATTTTACCAGGTGTCCCATTAATATCCTTTAACTTTTCCAGATTCAATCCAGGTTACCAACACTGCATTTAATCATCATGGCCCCTTAGTCTTCTCCAACCACTGATGTTTCTCAGGCTTTGTGTTTCATAACTTTGACACTTTTGGAGAGTACTGTTCAGTTGCTGTGTAGAATGTTCCTCCATGTGGGCTGCCTCATGATTGGACTGAGGTTATAGATATGCCGGAAGAATCTAGACTGGCACAGGGTGAACGACCCTTCTCATCACCTCATAGCAAGGACACAAGATGTTGGCACGACTTGTTCCTGGGCCTGTGAACTTGATCACTTGGCCCAGGTGGTTTCTGCTGGGTTTTACCACTGGGAAGTTACCACTGTCTCCTTTACTACTCGATTCCTTAAAAGCGGGTTTGAAAGTCAGGTGTACCTCACAGGGGAGTAAGCTGTACTTCCTGGAGGGAGGAACATCACAGAATTCATGGACATACTAGTTAAAACTACCACAGTGATTAGTATTTGGGGAAGACACTTTGAGGTTAGGCAAATATCCTGTGTCCCCTTAAGTTCTACACACTAATTTTCTTATCTGTCACTGCATCTTACCTGCAGCCATTAATGATGTTCCAATGGTGATTTTCTATTTCCCTCACTCCTACATTTATTATTTGTAATTCTTCTGCAAGGAAGATAAGTTCCTCCCCCCTCACTTATACAGCTACTAGAGGCCCAGTGCACGAATTCATGCATGGGTGGGGTCTGACCAGCTCAGCCCCAGTCGGCAGATCAAGGCTGGGCCTGTCAGGAGGAAGAGACAGTGGGAGGCTGGCTGGGGGGAGGGGCTGCAGGCTATTGGCCAGTAGGCCCCACCTCTGATTGGGGTAGGGGGAGCGGCTGGGGGCTGGGCTGGCTGGGGGGAAGGGCCACAGGGAGGTTGGCTGCCAGCCCCATGGGAAAGGCGGATCAGGGGCGGGGTGGCTGGGGAGAGGGGCCTCGGGAGGTTGGCTGGCTGGCCCCACCCCCTGATAAGTGGTTCGCTGGTGTCATAGCGACCAGTCGTTACAGCGTTATGGTTGCTGGCTTTTTATATATAGAGATGAACTCACAGATATTTCTTTTATATGCTGGGGTTACAACCCAGGATTATCATTATTTTGTTGCTCAAATTGTTCTAGCTTTGGCCCTGGGAGCTCTTTCCAGTTGCCCACGGGGCCTTTGTCCTCTGCTGTTTTCCCCACATCTCCTTAACGTGCTGGCACTACAGTGATCCGGGCTAGCAGCCACTTCTCCGAGGAGCCTCGGTCATAACCAGGAGCTTGTCCACTAGAGCAGAGCCTGCCCGTGGCCCCTTTCTGCATGGCACTGGTAGGAGCAGGGGGCAGATGAGAGTGATTTTTACATCTTTAAAGAACTGTTTTCAAAATAAAACAAAACAAGATGCAATAGACACTGCATGTGAGCCACAAAGCCTAAATATTTGACTATCTGACCCTTTATAGGAAAGTGTGCAATCCCTGTCTACAGCATAAAGATTTTACATCTCACTTTCAACAAAAAGTTATCTGGACAACATCTCATCCAACTAGGGCTATTTTGAGCATCTTCTTTAGTAGAGCAAACTGCTGAGTCTCACCTACTGGTGTTTTACTAAGAAATAAACATTTCCCCCCAGTTTTATTGAGCTTATAACTGACATATAACATGTTACCAGTTGAAGGCGTATGATGTGATGATTTGATATACATATGTATTGGGAAATGATTACCACAATAAGGTCAGAAATAAATTTTTCCTTAAAATCCTCATCTGCAGCGAATTATGTGTTCAAATGCACCAAGGGGAAGGCATGGAGACAAGTTATGAACGATGCCACGTTTTTCTGCAGCGAAACCATAATACCTGAAGCAAAGAAAAACGCATCCAAACGCCTACGTGAGCCAGACACATTCCTGAGCATAAACGACTTCAGTGAAGAGCGGAGAGGCCTAAAGCCCGCTGCAAACAGGACCAAGTTCCTTCTCAACACAAAAGTCTGTTTGTGAAAGCAACGCCGAAACCACATTGTTACAAGTGGGGCTCAGCCTCTGCATTTACAACTAATACAGTAAACCGAGCTTGTTCAGAATCTGCACGTTCTAAACCAACAATATCTAAAACAGCAAAGTCTATACATTCGCTGAACCCACAGTGCTGGCTTGCTGACTCCTCTCAAAAGCCAATCTGGAGGAAGTCACTTCCAGAGAGAGAAAGAATCCCTTAGTACAGACACGGCATTTCTCAACTAAGTGAGGCGCAACAGCCCACTTTCTAAGAATGAAGACAGCCCAGAAAGATCACTTCCCTCTCCTCGGCTCAGCTACCTGTTCTCTCATTCAGCTCGGTTTGTGTGTCCCACTGGTTCTTATGCTTATAACTCTGCTTTCCTCCCCTGGCTCATGCAATAAAAAGTCAATATGACTCCTGAGGCTCCTTACAGCAAAGCACTTTCATAGCCACTGTATTGTCTTTTATTTTTAAAATGCAGTTTGTCCACTGCATTTTAACATCCTGAATGTTCAGGTGTATCTTATACTCGAAAAGTTGGTTTTCACTGGCAGAGTTTCCTCTTTTTTAATGGCACAGAAGTAAGGGTGTGTCGTAATCAATCGTATCTGAGATTTGATAAACTACAGTATGATTTCATCCGATCGTTACTACACCGCTGAGGGATTCGACCAGCTCCACATCACAGGTGAGACACTGATATGCCCGAGGACACAGTGGGAATGTGGTGCTGAGTATAAACCCCATGCTCCTCAGGACCCCACACTGCTTTGCCTCTCGAGGTTAACTTTTAACACTTAAAAACAGCCTAACCTAAGTACTTTGAACCGAAGTCTATCACTGTTAATTAAGACAGTACACACTTCTGGGGCTCTCCTCCAAGCTCCACATAACAAATATTAAGTCATTTTTTCCTCTCTTTCCGTCTGTATTTTTTTTCTCAGCACACACTGTCTATTTATTGTCAAGTTGGATCAGAAATGCCTGAAGGCAGCTCAGTTATCTGATTCAGAAAACCTCTCCTGTGGGCCATTAGGTCGGCAGGAGAAGTCGTCCATGTGTTACACAACCCGTTGTGTCGAGCTTGGCCCTCCCCTCACTCACTTGCTGGGTCCACCTACATGCTTGTCTGGTGAGGACACCACAGGCAGCTGCTCCCGCACGCAGATTTCCTCAGTGCACCAGACCCCTGCACCTCAGTGTCTACCAGTCCCACCGAAAGCACTCCACAAATTACTGCCTGAAAAGGAACCTACTAGGTAGCCTCCAGTAGGGATTTTTACAGTTTTATCACTTTTAAAACTATTTTATATACTGTGTTTTTCTCTTGGTTCGTCCAAAGCACTGTGCTTTAAAAAACCTCTATATACCAGTGAAGGAAAAACTTCCGTAAGTTGAAGAACTAGAACCAGCCTAGCACAGGCTGGAAGGCGAGATGGGCCTGCATAGGCCACAGAGGAAGGAAATTCCAGCCCGAGGAACTGCAGCTGAAGTCCCCACACCCCTGCGGGCAAACTGCAAACCAGCCCCTGGGAGGCTGGATTACAACTGTTAGGAAACCATGAAGCAAGACGGGTTTCCTTGAACATTCCCGTCTCCGCCATCCAGAATGCATACATCAAACCCACGTCCAGTAAAGAAAAACATCAGCAACAGCAGGAGTGTCTCCAGACACTGAGGCAGCTTTACCCACTGCAAACTGGAATGAGGGTAACTGGAGGTCTGGGTGCTTAGCACGCTCCCCTCAGACACCAATTAAAACATCCTTGGCATCTCTAAAACACATTCTGTGAGTGATAGTTCACAGTTTCAAACCATTTTAATAGTTATCTACCATTTGATTTAATAAGCAGAAACCGTGAGGAACTCTAAGAGGTGGGTACCTATTATCTGTTTTATAGACAGGTAATTAGGAGCATGCAATTTCTCAGTAATGACTCAGAGTAAGTCAGGAGCACTACCTGATTATTAATGCAACCATTATAAATCCCTGCCTAGAGCTTCCATCAGAATGTGAACATACATGTAATTAACTAAAGAGTTACCTGTGAAACAATCCTGGGGTTAAATAAAAAATGTAAACATCCACTGATAAAAAGCAATGATAATCAATGCTCGATCCATTAGAGACTGCAAAATGCTGATCCTCTCATGTTGTCATTCCTTCTTCAGTTACAAACTGCTAGACTTTTATAAAGAGAAATGTCCTCATACTTACCGTGTGGTTACCCAGTGCTTCAAGTCATAAAGGGTGGGGCTGACAGGACAAACCCTCTAATCACTTGCTTGGCTCCTCTGGCTGCCAGCCCATCAAGAAGCTAATGGGGGCCCACCTAGAGTCACTTCATTAGCATAAATTCATGTGTGACTGAGAGGGGCTTGTTAATACCAAGAGATGCTCCCATCACCCCATCACCAGGAAATCCCGTGTTTCGGGAGCTCTGGTCCAGGAAAGGGGACAAAGACCAAGGATGTACTCCCTGTTCCGTCACAGGTATTTACACTCTTCCCACCAGGAAGCTCCCCACTGACACACCCTTCCCCCAATTCATCTTCACCATTCAGATCTCAACTTGGAAACTGGCCCCGCAGGTCCCAGTTCCTACCTT